GCCTTCACATGATTGTTATAATATGATGTCTAAGATCATTAGGAGAGAGTGTGTAGTACTATACAGCTTAATGCAGCACAGCAGTGCAACCAGAACAGAAATCATACAGGCAAGTTGCTGGAGATGGCTTGGTCATGTTTGTAGAATAAGGTACCATCAACTGCCCTTATTCTCAGGACAGCAGCCCAGGAAAACCAAAACCCCCAGAAGATCCTCAAGGACTTGGGACAGAGCAATAGTTAAGGATATTTGGTCTAGAAACACTAACTGTGCAGACAGGCCATTGCCTCAATAGTTTGTCAGTGCACGAATACTAGATGAGTGAATGCAACACATTGACTTTCAATGAGTTCATGAAAATAAATATTTGTTTAATACAGGTAAAATAATTATATTATACTTTTGAATTTAACTAAGTGAAACAATAAATTAATTATGCTGCTTTTTTAAATAATAAATGAAGGATCTTAATAAAGATGTAAACACTTGTTTATTGTAATAAATGGAAATCATCTTATAGCTGTATTCAATTGTTTATTGTAATAAATGGAAAACATCTTATAGCTGTATTCAATTTTTAATTGTAATAAATGAAATGTCACTGACACATTGATCTTATTTTTACATTATTTTAATTTATACTAAGGGGCCTTCCATAAAGTATGTCACGCTCCAGAGGGGGAAGGGGGTGTAAGAAAATGTGACAGGGGGGAGGGGGGTCAGGCCATGTGTGACATCACACATTAATTTTTAAAAAAAAAATGTTTAATATTTTTTTAGTAGAATTTAATAGCTTTAAAAATAATTTTCAAAAATTTTGTGAAACATTTGAATTAGTTTTATGTCAAAATAGCATAAAATGCGTATCTGCTGAATGTGTTGTTCACGATTCCTCTCGCTAGGAGCGCTAGTAACTATTCTACTATTAAAGCCATTTTAATAATGTGACGGTTCTTTTAAGTCTAGGTCCGCCTATGTAGTATAGGCCAACACGTGCCAAAGTGTACTCGTTTTATAGCCATTTTAATTGTTTCTATAGTATAGTAGTTACTATCCTAGTGTCTCTGGTTTTTCATTTTTATTTTACTTAGTTTACATGTTTTTAATAATTGTAAAGCGCTTAGAGCTTTNGGGGGGGGGGGGGGGGAGGGGTTGTTAAAAATGGTCAAAAATAGAGTGACGTACTTTATGGACGGCCTCTAAAAATACTAATATAAAACTGAAGTCTACAACATAGAGAATTTGTTATATATCAAGGGTCCATATATAGGCATCAGATACGTATTATATTAACTACAAAAATATTTATCCCTAAAAATTAGTTACCGTACACAATAATTTTCTTGTGGAAGAATACACCAAACCTTTTTTATTGACAATACAGTTTTAGTCCTCACCATCATTTTAATATAAAGTTGAAACTAATCATTATCATTGTTGGAAATGACTTAACTCGATCTATTTCTAAATCGTTTTTGCTTATAACTTGTACTAAATATGCTAAAATGCTACATACTGAAAAATCAGCGGCTGATCCTGCTAGCTGAACTGATCCTGCTTACTTAGGGTGACCAAATCATGAACTGGAAAAGACGGGACACACCCATCGAGGGTTCGGGGGGGGGGGGGGGGACCCCCCCCACCAAACCCATCGAGGGTTCGGGGGGGGGGGGGGATACCCCCCAGCTAAAGAGGGGTCCGGGGGCCTCTGCCTGAAACTGTTAATTGAAATATGCTCATTTTAACTATTTTGAGACCTAGAAATTAGAAATCTTGTTAAATTTGCCTTCACTTTTGTAATTTAATTTGAACTCTGAGGCATATCATAAACAAAATGATTTTGCAGTGAATACTTATTTATTTATACATATTATACAATATAATACAACAAATTAAATTTTTTCTATATTCTAGGATTTAAATTTAGGATATTTGGCTGTTGTCCCAGCCATTGTTAAAACCTATTTCTTTTCTAATATAAAGTCGTAAAAACTAGAAAAGTCCATTTCGAAATTGTAGAGAACCTGCAGGATTGCAGAAAGGGTCTCCACTCACATCTTGTTTCTTTCGTCCGTCCATTGAATGTTCATGAGCGAAAAGATTCTTTCAGCATTACCATTATGGGCAGGGATCGCAAGCACATATTGGCATATCTTTCAAATTTCAGAGTGCTGTTCTGGCCTAGTATGGGTTTTGAAAAAACAAACACATTTCGTGACAGTGAGGTGTTTTTTTTATCTTCAATCAGGCCACTCTTTAAAATTTTCACTTACAAAATCTGCTGATGATGCCAGTTGATCAAATAGCAAAGTATCATTTATTTCACTACTTTTTTCGTTGAAGTAACAAATAGTTTCTTCAATTTGTTCCCAACAGGGGATGTCCTTCAAAAGCATCCATTTGAATTTTGAGAAGGTAGAGAATGGTACACTCCATTTTTTAAGATATTGTATGCAGGATTTATAAAACTCGTTAACTTCATTTTTGAAGTTAATTTCAACTTGTTGCGTAATATTGGCCTATTTAAGAATGGATTTTAAACTAAATGATAAAAACTGTTCCTCTTTTCTTCTGGTCAAAGCACTGAGAGTACATTCCAATACATCATTGACATTGACTTCCATAACACTTTCTGTACTTCCTTCAATCTTTTTAATTCCTTGGTGAAAAATACAGAGTTGGCTATGGATAAACCATAGGTATGCCTCACTTAAAGGATTATTAAATAATCAAAGTATCAAACAGCTTTAAACTTTGTTCTATTGCAGGCATCTCAAAGACAGCCAATGAGTTTTTGAATAAGCCAAAATAGTGCCAAATTCAACATCAACCATTTCACAAAATTCTTTTAGCCTCTCTGTTCGCACCGTTCATACAGAAAAATAAGAGAAGAGTTTGAAAACTATACCTTCAATGTCACAGCTTAATCTATCAGGAGATGCACATATGCAGTTATGTAGTACATGTGCAGGACAACCCACACCTACAATACCAGTGAATACCACCGTATAAATTAGTTCTTAATTTTGTAATTACATTGTTTTTTCCCACTCTTTTCAAATCACCAAAGTTTGTGTTGGTATTGTATTGATATTATTTTTATTTAACTTGAAATCATCAATACAGTTCAAGCAGAAACTAGAAATCTCATCTGACGTTTCATGGCAAGGGCAAGGAAGCTACTTTCAGTAACTTTGACTCTATCCCTTCATTTATGTAAAAAACTGAACTACAAAAGGAAAGATTTTTATAATTTATAGCCTTGTGTTGTGATTACTTACATCAGTTGAAATGCCATAAAAAGGGGATTTATTCATCTCTTTAATGCTAGTGTTCAAGCTGAATGGAGCAAAAAGACCAATTATCAGGGCTGATTGGTTTGTTCTGGCAGTGCTAAACTTTAATGCAATTGATGGGTCACTAAACATAATGCTGTTTAACTTGTTAACACAGTCATTTGACCTAATGATGTGATGGTGCTTTACTGTATGGTAAGCCTGAGTTAGTTCAGCAGCTCTAACTTTTGTTTCTTCATGAGAATCGTGTTATATAAAATAATTGTTAAGAGGCATACTGCTACTTGGGGCCCTCAGTCTTTTCCTATGTTTCACTGATGTGATGTGTTGTTTTTGTCTGAACGTCCACCATGACCAATACTAAAAACACTATTGCAAATTGTGCACTCGGCTTCACTGTCATAGTGTCCCTTTTTAATTTAGTTCCACTCTTGGACTCTTTGGAATACTCCTCCATAAACTAAAATATGGGCATAATTATTGTCTATATGAGAAGATAATATAAAATTAAAGAATAAAGTTCAACACCCAAAACAAACACCTGTCACTCTGACACAAACAGGTCGGCAGGGATCACACATAAGACTAACACATTAATCGCTGCGGTAGTGGAATCAAAAATGGTTTCTGCGCAATTACGTCCTGCCCTCTTGGATACTACTTCTTAGCTAAGTGCTATTTTTGTTTAAATTCTGTTTTTCTATTTGTTCGCTGACGAAGGCTTCCTGCAGACACGTTCGTTGTTTTTTGTGTTCCTTTTTTCAGGTTTAACCTTACTTTGTTTTACTAATTTCCTATTGTGCTAGACTAACCTGATTGCAGTCTCTCCCCTTATTACACTGCAAATTACAAAAGGTCACAGGAAACGTATGACATGTGCTGGCAACCTTATTAGTTAAGACACAATCAGAGGCGTACTGTAGACATATGATGTGGCAACTTCGACAATAACTAAAATTGCTCTCCTATTATCAAGCTATAGAAAACTGTTTTTATGAACTAAGTTTTATAGCAAATATTTCAAATCAAGGTAATCGTAGATAACTGTAGAGCCAGAGGTGATTTTTTTTTTCTTTAATAAAACAAATACTAAATACTAGTACTAGTGTGCGAATACGATAAACAATATACTAGATGGCTATACTTTCACGTTTTCGAGTTTTCTCGCCTTCGCGTTGAGTCAATGTTTAAATTAAAGTCAGTTCTTTTCAATTTCTTGTTGTTCTACGCTTAATTAGAAGGATCACCACTTCCTTTCGTGCGTGTAACGGTGTCTTGCCACACCATCGGTGCGCCACTAGCTATGTTTCTATTTCTATACTTGCAAGTTGCAGTCGCGGTAGCTTATTTTAACTGAAAATGAGAAAAATGATCTAGTAGGAATATAATTACATATTAAAAAAATTGCAACTGTCAAATCAAAATCTGTGATATTTCTTGCCTCATTAATTTACTTTACAAAGCTCTAAAAACCTTGGTAACTGGTAAATGTTCATAAATCTTGTAATTGAGTAAAATAAACTGAGAAGAATAAAGTTGTATCTGAAATATTTTTTAAAAATAATTAATCATTTAAACTACTTTGATTAACTAAAAAAAATTAATTAAAAATTCTCAACTGATTTGTTTTCAATTAAAAACGTAATATTTAAACTACAATAGTGAAGAGAAAAAGGGCCAAGTGGCAACTCTGATCAAGACGCCATATTGCTTTGTGTGCACAATACATACTGCGTTGACTTGTAAGGCGAATTTTTTAGTTGGATGTCTTTAGATATAGCAGCTTATTAATTTTTAAATTATTACGTTGGAAGGAATGAACAAACGTCTTTGACTTTTAAACAAAAAATATGTGAGTATTGCAGTTGTATATATTAAACTCAAACTGGCCTAATCAAACTCGTACTGAGACTACACACACTACCGTCTACGACTACACTACACTGCTTTGGCTGTGGCCTTGGCCCTACTCTTCTTGTCTTAGCAGTTACAGTTTTGAGTTACAGTGTATAGGTATTTGGATAACATTAAATGAATTAAGAAATGAACACATTTAATATAGCCCATGTTTAATTAAGTAAAAATTAATATGTTAGTTTAGTTACTTGGGAGTTGGGTAAAGCAAGGGAGATTACTGAAAAATTTGAATGGGGAAATGGGTTTCAGTTCAAGTGGAGGAGTTTTTAATTTCTGGATGTCTGTGCTTTTGCATTAATAAATGGACTATTTAGTCATAAAATTGTGGTATCCTTAGTTCCACTAATAGGTGACATCCTGACCTACATTCCAACTTATTGTAGATACTTCGATGAATCAAAGGAGACTACTACTTATTGTGTATCGGAAATGGGCGTCGGCGCCTAAAAATCAGAGTTTTTAATTTTCCGATGTGTGTGTCTATTTATTATTAAATTAGTTCTTTCGAAATATATTTGAGTTCCGTTTCCGGCCTTATAATTTGGAAGACATCTTGGCCTACATTTCCATCCAGCTATTTTGCTTTTTCAATTGACCTTTATTTTGAAAATCTTTGGTATATATATAAGGCATCTTCGCATACAAAATTTTTTGTGAAATAATAAGATAAGGCCCTTTTTTATTAAATCTGTAAAAGCATTAGATATTGATATATATCTGTGCCAATTGTCATTGATTGATGTAGGTCGTGTCCCATGTTTTTTACGCTTGTCCCAGAGACCCATGGCGGAAGTTTTTAATATCATGTCAAAATATTTGATAACTTGTGTTTCAGAATGCATTTTGAAGACATTTAAACTGGAATTTTTTAATTTGAGCTTTAAAAACCCTGTAGAGCCCATATCATAAATGATCAGAATTTTCCGTGTGCAACACGTTGTCATTGGCAACCATTCACAGCCACTTGCATAACGGCTATATCATAGTACTATATCAGAGTTTCATTCATAAGAGTTTGCCGTGTGCAAATACTATTAAACCATTGGTCAGGGAAAGCTTTAATTAATTTTTCATGTGCCAAAGTTGAAAGTTTAAAATAAGTCGACCTTAAACAGTACTTTAGTGATAAGGGATTCGTTGCCTTATATAAACTATATAGTCATTGCGCATGACACGATCAGCGGAATGAGGTCACAGAATGTGGAGATGCAGTCCATGTTAAAAAAGGACAAACCAAGTCGTACTTCAAAAATTCATAACTTTAAAACTACAACAGCTAAAAATATGATTTGGTGTTATAATTCTGTTTAAAAAAAAATTAGCTCTATTCAACTATGCCATTGGTTTATTTTTACAAAATGTTTAAATTTTTGACCAAAGTATCTCTTCTTCTGCTATATCTTAACTTAAGGGCCCACAATAAATTTATTGATCATTTTGGCTCCTATGCATGTAGATGGGATTTGCAATGTTTCTGTTCCTGGTGTTGATGAGGAAATTTCACTGATTCCCAGTGCCACTTTGTGAGGGAATCATGCACTGGGGGTTTGAAGGCTTGAGGCAATAGACACAAATGTGTCTAGTGTTGTCGCCTCAACCGTTCCTTTTGAAAGATTGTTCCAGTCCCTGATTGTCTTGGGCAGGAATGAGCAGCTCCTATACTGGCTTCTTGCTGGTATGAGCCTGAATTGCCTGTCATGGCCTCGTCGCTGTCTATGGGGGAGAGGGACGAGTTTCTGTTTAATACTGGAACAGTGGACCAGCCCATTATTTATCTTGTACATCATGGAGAGCCTGGATTGTCGTCGTCGTTCCTCCAATGGTGACCAGCCTAGTGTTTCCAGCATGCTGCCAACACTAGAGGTATTCCTGTAGCGGTTTAGGACAAGCGTGCTGCTCGTCGCTGGACCGCCTCCAACTGTCAATGCTCTTCTGGGTAAATGGGTCCCAGACTGAAGATGCATAATCTAAAACCGGACGGACAAAGGCTTTATATGCTCTTTCTTTCACACAGGAGTTGCCAATCTTTAAATTTCGCCTTAAGAACCCTAGGGTCTTGTTTGCTTGGTTACATACATTGTTAATATGCCCGTCCCAGCGGACCTCTCTTTGAATGGTAACACCCATAAACTTTACAGAGGTAACTGACTCAAGTATATGGCCGTGCAGATCGTATTGGTAGTGTATGTACTTATTGTTTTGCCTTTTTTGATCAACCTTAACCACTTAACCTTATTTATAAATATATTATGGAAATTCATTGGTATATATTATATTTATATATACTACATCTTTCGCACTAATTTTTTTAGAAATTCAAATTTATTGTATTTTACATTAGATCGTGAAAAATAGGTATCTCGAAAGTCTCACGAACACATCGAAAAATGACGCAAAAACTGTTCTGGCCAGCTTACAATCGCTTCTATGGTGACCTTGGATTTAGGCTTTTACGGCACAGTTTGCTTATTTTAATTTATTTTGTAATCGATACAACATAAAATTTTTGTGTTTCGGTGACGCGCATACAACTTTTCCCTCGAGGGGAATCTCCCATTTTTTAAAATGTAACTTTGACCATTCGATAAGCTGAAAATACTTAAATGCTCAATTGTTAGCAATTGCACCACATTGGAACCTAAAGAATCCTCTTTAGAATCTAAATTGGATAAGGAATGACTTTGAAATAGTCCATATTCCATGTTCCAGTTAATACTAGCCCTTTCAGATTGTCATCACCCTCCCATCGCCGGAGGGAAAAAATAAATTTCTCCATTTTTTGTATCTTCATCGGAAATGAAATTACCTCTCGATAACAATCAATAAGAGACTAAGAGAGTTTTAATATTCTGTAATCTTTAAAGATCTGAATAAATCTAAGTAAATTCTAATTCTAAAGCTACTAAGTCTAAGTTTTAAGCACTGGTTCACTGGTACTAATCCATAACTAAGCCCCTAAGTTTAATTTTAAAGAACAAGTACTAATATACTACTAATACTATTCTAATACTGCACTTACAGTCAGGCCTAATTTAAATTATTTTTACATTAATAAGGTATTTAATTTTAATTAGACCAAATGGTTAATATACTGATAATTTATAATAATAATAAATCTAAATTATAAAATAAAAAAGAAAAACACTTTCTTAAATAAGTTTCAATAAATAATAAACAAAGACAAAAATTGAAAAAATATTAATAAGAAAATTTGTAGATTTAGGATTACGATTTAATATGATTAGATGTTGTTTCTAGGATTATTTCAGATATAAGAGAAAATTTTTAATTAATTTATCTTTTGAAGAACTTGGTATAATTCCATCAGTTGACTATGATGGGGCACGTTAAGATGTAGATGGCAAACACAAAGTTTATGAAGGAGAGATTGTGGGGTTCAACAAGACCAAGAAGTCTGTAGAGCAGTTTAAGTAGAACATGACAGGCAGAACATTCCTATTACCTTTTGAAATTTAATCACATACCGATACTGGTATGCTTGTATTAGACTTATGGATGATTTTTTTATAGTTTTTACTTATAATTTCATGCATTTAATTTTATTTTAAAAAATACCTCTACTTCTAACCTTTTATAAATATAAGAATTGATTTAAAATTTAACTGAAGCATATACTTAATTAAAAATACAATAAACATGCTATTATTTTGTTTTTTCCTTTATAAATTAAATTTTTTCTAATTATTCTGTTAACATGTTTCTTAACAAACCCTCAAATAAAAGTACAAAGTCTTGATATTAATGTAAAAGTTTTGTTGTTTATTGTGTTGTATATTGATAGAGTGTCTCCTGAAAATCTGATAGCATTATCTTATTTGTAAAATAAAAAAAGTTTGGTGCAAATAAGTCAGAAATTTTGGAAAGTCGGCCACGGTCACATGTTTTAGCCGTAAAATACAAAGAAGGGGGTTTTAAAAATTCATAACTTCATTTCTATAAAAGATAGAAAGATGAAATTGGTATTTTTGCAAAGCTTATAGCTAGCCCTTTCAAATTGTGTATCATTTATGGCAATAGGACAATAATTAAAATTTCTGTCAAAGTACCTATGAAAAGTATTTTATATTGATCAATATTATTATTCTATATGAATGTGTGCTAATTCTCATTAATGTAGGTTGTGATTGTGACCAACTTTCGTAATGCTTGTCCTCGTAACATGTAGTATCATAAGCTCACTCATCCTAATTTCGACATGGCGTGGGCCACACTCCCTTTTTAATGGTGGAAGGAAGATGCCAATGCTTAATATATAATTATTTAATTATTATCACTATTTATCTGTTAATTCAATATGAGGTTAAAAAATCCGGTAGTGTCCATATCATAAATGATCAAAATTTGCTGCGTGCAAAACGTTGTCATGGGCTACCATTCAGTCATTTGCATGTGCTATAGTGCTATAGTATTATTCTCATAGTTTCATTCATCATAAGAGAAGGTATGTGCCATGTGGGAACACTATTAAGGTATCGGTCATAGCAAGATTTAATTCATTAGTCATGTGCAAAAGATAAAAGTTCAAAATAAGCAGGGCCTAGTCACAAACCAGTATTATGTTTAAAGGACACCTTGCCTTACAGTGCTTTATATACACTATATATATATAATGGCATGGAAGCTAGACTTGGTAAACAATACATCCATGTCGTATTTAATGTAATAATCAATATTACATAGCTAGATAAGTTATAATTTATTTATAATTGCATAATATTGTTAAAATTAGAACTTTCAATCCTTAGCATTATCAAATTTTCGCGTATATAAGACGCATCTTACAATGCCCCGCACCCAAGGTGCATCTTATATATGGGTGTGTCTTATGTAAAAAAAAATGAATGTAGATTAAAAAATCGTAACAAAATTTTATGTAGATTAAAAAATTGTCAAAAATTGGGGTGTGTCTCATCAATATATACTGGTAACAAGAGACTATTCCCATGTTTATATATGCTAACAGCAGACATTTATTGGTCTGTGTACGGTACTAATCCAACTCGCTGATTCTGAAGACTTGGCCTAGCAGATCAATGAAGCCGCCTTTACATCTGGCATTTATTGTTGCTAGAATCTAGATACCAGGTACTCAACCCATCCGCTATTGGCCCGGCGGCAGATAAGAATAAACAATAAACAGTGCGGTCATGACCTCAGAATTTTTTTTGTGTGATCTAACATTGGACAAATTTTCATTTATGATAAAGGAAAGGAAACCCCTGGAGATAAGTTGCTCAGTGCGGCAGATGGCAAAGCTGCATGAAACTTATGTAATTTTTGTTTACACAAATTGTCAAAACCCATGTCTTATATGCACGAAAATGTGGTGATGATTAATCCTGACATAAAGGTTGTATAAAATTATCATTAAAACAAGAATTATTGCATCTTACTTGATCAGTGGAATGGGGGTCTCAAAATGTGGAAGTGCTGTCCATAGTAAAAAAATACCAAATGAACTCGCACTTTAAAAATTCATAGCTCAAAATTGACTGAAGCTAGAAAGTTATGGTTTCTGTCACTGCACAATTTCATTGTAAATAATTCTAGAGGCAACGTGGTTCAAATGGTGACGGATATTTTATTATCCACATTCACAACAAGAAATACATTTCACAAAAATCAGAAAACACTTGGAAATTATATCACATGAATTTCATCTACTAACTTCTGAACAATATAATCTTCTTTACTTGATATATTTATCAACACAATATAAATCTTCGTTACAACATCAACGGTCTCTCTGAGCAATCTTCTCAAAACAAAATCCCATTCTTCGACTCCCAATTCTGATTGGCCAGTTTCTCCTTAAGTCCCAACACTCTATATATATTATATAAGAAATATTTACCATATTATTTATCTCCCATTATATTTACATTCATATCTGTGACAGTTTCAATTTTTAATTTGAAATATGCTCTATATAACTTTAATATTTCAATAATTAAAAAAATTAATTTTAACTGCAATACCTACCTTTTATTGTTGATAACTAGCTTCATAATAAATTCTGTGTAAATTTACACAATCCGTGCCACTTATTTCTCACGGCCACCCTCTTGGTTTCCATGACCTGTGACAGGTTGTGGGAACCAAGGTGGCGGCAGTGTAAAAAACACATTTTTGCTAAAATGGGGAAGGGAAAGGAAGCTATTTACCGCAAGAAACAAAAATAGAAACAAAACATTAAAATTTAATGAAATAATTTCAGCTTATATATAAATTTTCATGGCGAACAAAGCTATTTTATTGTATCCTTCTAGATATTCGGCAAGAAGTCTCAACAAGTTATTACATTAATATTCAGTCCACAGTATGTTTAACGTGCATGTGACATATATTTTGTTGGGCTACGCCGGTGCTTCTAAAATTTTCTTTTCCCGGGGCCTAAGCCAAATTCAGGTTTTCACAAGGCTCCCTGTGTTAAATTCTAACAAGTACACTTCAAAATAGCCAATATATAAACAAATTAAAATAAAGGGTTGGGTAAAAATAAATACAACACATAGATATCTCAATAATATTCTCAAAGAAAAAACATTTTCTGGCACAATAATCCAAGATTTACTATATTGGATTACTAAAGTACTATCATAATAACTGGTACTTGCCTCAAGCAAATGTATAGAACCTATTTTAATCCCTATCAACTGCCAAAGTTGATTCTAACGATACATGTTGATTAGTGAAATAAGATTTTAAAATTTGAATTAAACTGTACACTTTGTAAGCATTCACTAAAAAAGATGTTTGGGGAGAGTGATTTTCCATTTCCTAAACACAGAAGAGTTACTGCCTTAAACTTACTGAAAGAACAGCAATGATTCATGTCTGACTACAAGCTATTCAACATCCCCTATCTCCTGAAGATCCTCAAAGATTAGCCTTAACATCATACATTTGAAATGGATTACAGCTGTCACCTCTATCAATCATGCATGGATTTAGTACTGACCATCAGACAAACGTGGCACAAGAAACAGACTTGCACACCGGTATATGACCTAAATGTTTTTAGGGAACGTTACATAACCTGGATCCAGCATCTGTTGCTCACTTTCATTTGAGTTCAACAGCAAGAACTCTTAAGCAGCAACTAAAGCCAGACCAAACAAGACTTTCACTCCATGATGGGACTCTTGAACCACTCTTGGAGAAGTAGAGAGGAAGCTACATCAATAGACTCTTGCTACAAATAGAAGACATCTTTTTTCATGCTTCTAGTCAGAAATTGTCTAAATCAGAGGTGGGCAAACTACAGCCCGCGGGCCACATGCAGCCCGGTAACTGATGTTATGCGGTCCCCGAGGGCATTTAGAAAATAATAAAATTACTTGGTTTTTAAGTTATCTTGTTGAATAATACTTAATACAGAATTTCATGTACTATTTTTATTGTTTGAACATTTAAAAAAAAATTTCTTTCCCATTTTCTATTTTTGTTAGCAGTTCTTGACCTTCGTAATGTAATGCTTGTATGGCAAAATATATATGCGGCCCTCCAATAGCTTTTCATTTGTCAATGTGGCCCTACGCACACAAAGTTGCCCACTCCTGGTCTAAATAAATCATTCTCCTATTTTCAAATACAGCATTATGCCTGAAACCTAACTTATTTATTCTTTGAAAAAGCTTAGGCCTATTACTATAGGTCATTTATAGACCTGGCTTTTGTTGGCACAATGATTGTTCCATTGGGCTATTGATCTCCCTACAAATAGTTAAAGTAAAATTTCTTTTGAAATAAAATTAATCTAGTTCATTATTTATAGATAATTTTAATTATTTCAGATCTGGTTTTGAAGCTAAATTTACTCATCATGTCAAGAAATGCTCCAATGAGGGACTGGAGTTTAGATTGCAAGGTCTATGTAGGCGACCTTGGCTATGGCTGTGCTAAACAGGAACTGGAAGAGAAATTTTCTAAGTATGGCCAGTTGCGAAATGTTTGGGTAGCCCGAAAGCCTCCTGGCTTTGCATTCGTGGAATTTGAAGATAGCAGAGATGCTGAAGATGCTGTTAGAGCTTTGGATGGCTCGTAAGTTCTTTTATAACATCTATTCTTTGGTTTTTTATAATTTTACTTTAGCAGTTTAAATAGTTTACATATTTTTAATAATTGTAAAGCGCTTAGAGCTGTAACGTAAGCGCTATACAAAAATTAAATAAATAAATAAATAACATAATTTTTAACTTGCAACCCTCCATTTTAAATAATTAGCAAGAGGAAATATTTTGCTTATGGCATTGTGCTTATATAAAATACCAATTTAAAAATGTTACACTCTGATATATCAGTGAAAAAACAACTTGTGTCATTCAGAAGCCGTAAAGAGGGGACAGAATGAAAAATCTAATTACATGTATTTAAATAATATCTACTTAATTTCAGAAAAATTAATGGAAGACGAGTACGTGTTGAAATGTCATCTGGTCGTTCTAGATGGGGTAACAGAGGAGGCCCCCCTAGAGGTGGAAACAGACAGCAAAATGATAGCTACCGTGGAGGAAGTGGTGGAGGAGGAGGAGGTGGTGGCAAAAGATCTAGGTATGTATGTTTATGGTATAATAGCATGAGCACTCAAGTGTTTTTTGTGTCTTTTTTTAAATGTGGCTTTTACAGTTGTAAAATATAAGTGCCAAACCAAACATTTTTTGTTACGCTTTTGACACCCATTGTGCACGCTCTAGTTAAACGAGAATGTTAGTCAACTTTTTCTCTAATAAAAACAAATCAGATGTAATCAAAGGTCATGGGTCTTTGGCATTCAAGTTATTTCAATTTTATGTTGAGTTTTCCTTGCATTTTTACTACTCTTAACCTTTGTTTTTCAGCATTGTTCATTTTACTTGTATACAAGTTTAATAAGATGTTTTAGAATAGTTTGTTAAATACTATTCCCAAATGGAAATAAGTATGATAAGTTTGTTAATGTTTTTTTTAATTCGAACTGCAGTTTATCACATATTTGATTGGGCTTATAGAAACACATTTTACAAATTTTTTAAGTTAGTATTTTTTTAAAATGCAAAATTACATAGGCTTAAGATATCTTTTTATAAAAAAGTTATTATTGTCTGAATGTAAATTGGTGTTTCTGTTTATTTTTGTCTTGTCATATGTTTATCTTTTATACTTGTGTAATGATTTTGTTTCTTCTCTGGCCAAAATGTTTCAGGACCACCATCATCATCATCAGCTGGGCACACCATCGCCAGCCAACCTAGCTTCAACCTCACTACAACCACTAGCACAACCTCCTTCACTACTACTACTACCACCACCTACTTCATCAACTCAACCAACTCTTCTGCCAGTGGTTGGCCCTTCTCCAACTTCAGCTAACTCCGTAGCTGCTGTCTGCGCCCCCAACTAAGCAATAAATGCCATGGCTTTTGCTCCGGCGGTCAGCAACGTATATCGCCGCATCCACATTTCAAAAGGAATCTGCCAGTATTGCAAAATACATAGGCTTTTCTTGTATGCCCGTCAAACACAGCTGTAATATTTTTTTCAATATAGGTTCTTTTTAAAAAAACTGAGGATTGATTTTTAAATTTTTTGGCTTTTAATTTTGAAAACATTTAATTGAAAATATAACGGTTCCATTCAGGTCAAATTTTTTATTCTTGGTTTTAATACTTTTTCCCCCCTAAAATTAATTTTAATGTCTTATTTATAAAAGAAAAGGAATTTTATTTTCATTTTTTTTTTTTAATATTTAAAAACTGGCATATTATATAAGTAGTTTTAGACCTGATCAGGGTCTCCTGAAAGTACCAACTAGCTACCGCAACTACCACCATCTTCATCTTCATTTTAATCAACCAACAACTGAGCCACCTCTGGTTTCTTCGTTGTACAATGGTATGATCACAATATTAAGTTTTTAGTTTTTAATATTATTTTATTCATTTTTGGCACTGCTACATCACTTCACAATAATGTTTCATCATTGCTTTCATTTGATATGATATAGAAACCTAAAACTCATTGCGTTGCTCTTGAGAATAACATCTTTTTTTGTACAGCATTTCACAAGCCTTTAAAGAAAAAAAAACAACCCAAAAAAATTTAATTGTTGAAACAAAAATTCATGTTTTTAGTAACCTTTAACCATTTTCCTAACTCCTGTGAGTTGTACTTCCTTACTTGTCATTATGTTAATTGTCCTTAGTTGTTCAGAAAGCAACATGCAGATTTTAAAGAGCAGGACTACAGAGCTGCTGACAACTATGTTTTCAAGAATCATAGTGGTTTATTGGTCTTGTGTGATTTACAGTCATTTATATAAAAAAAAAATATTTAAAAAAAAAAAACGCCAGCCACTGTATGTGCTTACTACCCCTTTGTATTGTTCAGTCTCATCATTAAATGCTAGTTTAGTGCTTTATTACTATATGCTGGTCTTAAATTATCACCTCGTTGCATTTTCATTATTAGAAATGCTCTATTCCACATAATTTAGTTTATCAGTAAAAACAAGTTGAAAAGTGTTCATACCTTCTAAAAATATTTAGTTGGGGAGGGGGGGCCTTTGGAATGTGTTTGCAAGGAGGATCAGTAGTTTTTGCCTTTTATTTTAAAAAATGTATAAATTGTATTGTTTTTCCATAGATCCTTCTCACCTCGCAGACGATCTCGCAGTAGAAGTGCATCTGGATCCCCCAGAAGAAGAAGCCGAAGCAGGTAAATTGATCTTTGTCGCTTAATTAAATACCGATACTGTAAAATTACAGTTTATACCTGATGCATCTATCAGAAATGGTCGCTGTAAAAAAAAAGATTTTTTGGGAAAATGCAGCTTTTAAAAATTTGGCTTCCCTATGTCATGTAAAAATATATTTTTTAAATAGCTTTAGTGGGAAGAACATTTTTCGTCTCACAGCCTAACTGAACTTTTTAAAAGTTCCTTTTACAGTTATACGGTTTAGGTGTCCTGTACAATTTGGAAAACCTTACTTATGCTCAGTCACAGAAATGATGTATATTAGTATTAGCACAATGAACACATTTTAATCATGTAGCATATTTTTAGATTGTTATATTACATTAACAAAAAAGTTTTCTTTTCTTTGCAGGAGCTAACACGTCATATTTTAATCTTTTTGTATCTTTGAAATGTCTATATTTTTTTTTTACATTATCATCCAAAATGTGTTGGTGTGCACCTGCAACTTGATTAATTAACTTAATGGAAACTTTGTTTTGTAATTTGAATGAAATGAAGCAAAACAAACTATGATAATAAATAGATGTAATATTTAATTCAGTTTAAAGTAAAAGTTCCAAATTTTTATTGCCGGTAGTTTTTCTTAAGTTTGAACAGTAATTGATCATATTCAGTTATAATATTATTCTAAATAGTGTTAATGTTATGTCATTTTTAAAAAAGTTAGCAAAAACATTTATAATACAACACAATATACAGGTAATTTTTATGTTTAAGGAAGAAGTTTTTTTTTAAATATGGACAATTTTTTTTTTTTAATTCTCACAAATAAAATACCTATGAATTATTACAGAATTACTAAATTATGTATTTTCAAATTTTTTAACTTTAAAAAAAAAGGTAAAATCTCTTATAAGTAAATATCTGTTTTTTTATTCTTGTAAAAGCCATTTATTTTTCATGAGCTGCTCATTGTTTAATATTATCCCAATGTATTTTTAAATTACTTTTCCTCATTTGTTAGCACAATACATTTCCATCTCTCTTTGATGCAACAAAGCAAAGATATCATAGTTCTTGTGTATGAAAATTAATAGAATTAGCCTGAAATTCAGTAATTAGATTGATATAACATAGAAGCATAATTTTACTGCTAAGTAGCATCCATGTCCTCACATTTATATATATATAGAGAGAGAAATAAATAAATAACTTTATCTTTTATATATGTGAAGAAACAGTGCTTCATTAGATTTGGGATGTTTGTTGGATGAAAGCATCAAGAATCATATCTTTTCAGTTGTTAATTAAATTGTTAACTTTAAAATCATAGTCATAGATATAATTTATTATCTCCATGCTACAATAATTAAAATTATGTTTCTGTGTTGACTTGAGTAAATTTATACTATAGTATTTATATTGGTAGTTGAACAATGAGTTGGTTTAAGTCATTGCTGGCTTCATTGTGTTACGGTACTTTAATGTCTTCATTTCCCAATGATTTAAGACATTTTAAAATTAGCTTCTTTTGTTCTTTAAAAAAATGTGACTTATATATAGAGTTGATGGTGGGATCTATCCATTTCATTATGAGCTCATCTGTCAGAAAGGTTACAATGCTTGTAAAGAATGTAAAAAATGTGCATTGATAGCATTAGTATGCTTACTTTTTGAAAATAACTCTTGAATGAGAACATTTCATATTTGAGGGCATTTATCGGTTTGTACATATTTGTTTTATAAATTAAGTCCTGCCTATTGATTTCAATATATTTGTTATATATTGTATGATTTTTATTTCTTTGAAATAAAACCATGCACTAATCCATACATCTGATACATAACAAAAAAATGCTCACAAAAACAATGGCATCATGTCAAAATGTGTAGTCAAATTTATAATTAAAACAGATATTGGCTGCAACCCGAGCTTGGTGAAATTAACAAAAAATGTCTTGAGGAAATGAACATAAAAGCAATCAATGTTTGCTGTCTAAGAAAGTCATCTAGCAGTTAATTTATCATCTTTGATCTTTTACGTGCATTGTTTATCCTTTTGCAATGCAGTCACTAGCTAATAAAATGATCCCATTTTAATAATATGACCATTTTCTTGAGAAGCTTCTAAGTAAGTATAAAATTAATTAAAAATGAATGCGTAAATGGTCTCCACCATTAAATATTTTTTGGGTTGCTAGCACTTTCACCAATGTTTGTCTATCTCTGTTTGGATGTAAAGTTTTTTAAAATTAAGTTTTTGTTCCCATTTTAATAAAATGTTTAGATATGTTATTGTTGATTACTTAGATAATTATTTTTAATTTAAATAAACTAAACAAAAGCTATGAAGAAATGCCGTGCATTTTAAAAAAAAACAAAAAAAACTTTTAATGTAATTTTAAAATATATTTGTTGTGAAATCAAAATAAATTGTTCAAAATCCCAAACACTGACTCATTGTTTTGTAGTATGTTCAAGAACAAGCAGACTGGCAAAAAAAAACTACACATTTATCACAGATAATTTTGTATCATATATATTAGAACTCAAAACTAAATAAAAAATCTGTAAAATGTACATGGTTATTCAACTTGAAATGTGGATCAAGTTGATGAAAAGCAATAGGAGGTTTTAGAAACTATCTTGAATTTTTTTTTATTGTAAATAAAGACTTAAGCAGTAATTCTTATGTGTAACATCCATCACACTAGAATCACAGGCCTGCACAACTCAAAATGTAAGGCAGGCCATATACTTTATGAAAAACTTGTGCGGGCCAAAAGAAAATGCGACAGGACTTGTGCGGGCTAAAAGAAAATAGGGGGGGAGCTATTAAGAAAAGAATAAATAAATATTTTGTTACTTCACGGGCCGCAAAGTGGGTGCTGGCGGGCCATATATTGTGCAGGCCTGATCATCATAATACTGATGAAAGTGATGATATAATTTAACTTATACATTGAATAATTTTGGCACATCTACAATAACTCTGACACATGCGCAACTGTATTTGTATTACAGAAGTTGTTTGCAAGAATACATCAAAAATAAATCCATCATTATACTGATGAAAGTGATGATATAAATATAAATGATACATTGAATTATAAGTTCAATTAATAATTATAATAATTTTGGCACATGTACAGTAACTTTGACATTTGTACAACCGCACAAATACATTTTTATTACAGAAGTTGTTTGCAAGAATACATTAAAAATAAATTACAATCATAACGCATGCGCTAAATTTGAGGGTAAAGAAATGGCTGTGTTGTATCTGCTGAACTTTTTCAGTTTAAGATATTACATAATAAACTTGGAATTACTTTTTTCGCACCTGCTGCCTGCTAAATAAAGACCTGTGTCCTTGATGTGAGGGTGGGACAAAATGACCTGAAGGTGATGGGTTGTCTTGGTGATCTTGACAGATCATCAAGGAGATCTTGGCTGGGACCGTCTCTGCAGATAAACAAAATCAGCTGAGCTAAAATTCTAAAATAATTTTATCTGAAAGGTTACAATTTATTTTAAAAATAGCAAGAAATTAAGATATTTAAGATAATAAATGTGAAAGGTTTAAATTTTCTAAACGCCATGTAATGGTAATGTGGTTTTCTTTCCTTCTTTTCATTTTCTTTTTTTTTAATACTCCAAATACAATATAACAAATTGAATATAGTTTTTGTAAAGTTAACTAAAAAAAAATATCACTGGATACAATTATTTAAATAAATAGGTAAGTATGTGGGGGATCAGGATTTATAAGTAAATACATTAATAAATAAATGCCTCTCATGAAAAATAACCTTTAAAAAAATTTCAAATGTTTTATTTCTTTGTACAAATTGCAGTGTAATCTAATGTGAACATTTCTATTGGAATGCTAGATAAAAATAAAAAGTTTCTCTTCACATTAGATCTTTGTTAATCCTGATTTTTTAAACAGGGTTTCGGCACCTGAAACAGTTTAAATGGTGATGCCAAGTTAGAAGAGGAAAATCTTTTGACCAACTCCACCGCCCAGCAATATTTCCTCATTAACAAACTGATTGTAAATAGTTTGACAAATCAGCATGTAGCTTTAAGAGGGTGCACACTCAAACATGTGAAACTCTGAGGTAAATAGTTTTTATTTAAGTTTTAAATTCCTTTAAAAAAATCTGTATGGATAACAATCCATCAAACTGGCCCTGGCTGTTTATAAATTTAATAACTCATCACAAACATAACTTAAGTGTTGAAATGAAGATTGATGAGTTTTTCTCAGTGAGTGTCAAACAATAATTAAATTTGCAAGACTTCAATTGATTAACACAGTGTGAAAAGTAATGGAGTTAGTTAATTATCCTCAGTTATTAAGCTTGAATAACAACACAAGACAGCAAAATGAATAATATATATATATATATATATAGTATGATAAAATTGTATGTCTCTAACAACAAAAATTGATGATTTTTTAAATTACCATGTAATGGAATTGAATGTTTTTCACGAAGGATGAGCTTGTATAAATTTAAATTATTTACAATTGACAACTTTCAATCAAACATGTTGAATAGGGAAACTGATTTGAAACTAACTACCGGTAATAAACAATTTAATGATATATGTGAAAAAAAATCAACACCTTGGTTGTCATTTTATTATTAAGTTATTTTTAAAATATGGAATTAAACGGGGTGAATCTTCTCTAAAAGTTTTTTGTAATTTTATTTCCAAAAACATTTTTACCTTCATACACTAAATAAAAAGACATTATCTTTATACCCTATTTTATAGGAAGCCACAAAGTCATCATAATAAAATTAATATGTCTTGTTGTGTGGTAAAATTAGAGCACAAAAAAGTTGTGGAAAAAAATCACATCTGTTGGTGCAGCAAGCAGTTCTATAGTTTTCAAGCGCACACAATGAGGATCTTACCCACAACTTGACGAGTGTTAGATCTAGCTGACCTGGAGCGAGTTGGCTATACAATGAATAATAAATAGTGAGGTGTATTATTGAATTTTGAGCAATAAGCTTAAAAATAATGGAAGAGCCATGAGTGAGTTTTATGCAAAACATCGGCAAACAAAAAAATATTTTAAACCTATCAGTGTCCATGTCAGCATTGAGAGATTGCCTCACAAGTAAAAAAAAAAAAAAATACTCCAAAAGTCTGACTAGCATGTATCAAGTTAGGTTGCCTAGTTTAGGCGTTCTAATCCTTTACTTGAATTGTTTGTTTTTGTATTAAGTCAGAGGGGCTTGAATATTTTCTGGGAAAGTGGGTCATTGATTTGTGACATACACACTACATTTTTACCATGACATAAGATTATTTTGCTTCCCACCCACATAACAAACTATCAAAATGAATAGCTTAATTATTCTTGTCAATAGTGACTCAACTTCTTTAATTTACTTCTGACATTTGACGTTGATCACGCACAGTGACAAAAAGTGATCGGCAGTTGGTTACAGGTAACTTCACTTAAACTAAAATTGAGAATTTTTCATTTTTAGCTTTAATCCAATGGTAGGAAAGAAGAAATTAAACAATTTTGAAAACAAAATCTGTCATAAAAATGTGTTAAATAAACTTTGATTGCATTCTAAGATGTTAAAATCTAATTTGGCCTAAATCCTCCACCTAAAATGTTGACACTGAGATGAGCTCAGACTCAAGGCTCAGTGTTGGCCTGGTGTCATTTTGCCTATAGAGATTTGTCAAACATAATGCTAAATGAAATAAATTTTGCATTAGATGAATGATGATCTATTCTCTAAACAACTAAACTCTAAATCAATTTGTTAGCAAAAGAATTTTTGTAAGCATATGGATCCTGATAAACAACAGTTCAACAGTTTAAAATTTCAAATCTATAAAAGTTGGAAAATCAAGGATTTAAATCAAATTAAGTTAAAAGTTAATTCTATGAGTGCAGAACTCTTGAAGCAAATCTTCAATTGAAAATGCCAGTGCTAATGAATTAAAATAATTTAAAACTGTTACAGCATTAAAAGAAGTATTTTTATTTTTGTTTGCTAATGATTTCTGTATTCATTACCATTTTATCTTTTGTTCCACACTAATATCCTACTGACTTTTCTACCAAAAATATTCTTTGCTTCTAATTCTAAGCGAATTTACATTATATACCAATATTTTTCATGGTGTCATGGGCTAATAAATTATATTTCATTTTGAAAATGCTTATTTCACATTTCTTTTAATTACCTCCCCATTTTCTCCAAGCTCCAATCCTCTAGTATCCTTCACAATTAACTGTTGGGAAGGACTCCTCAGGGATGCAGAGCTGGGAAACTCTGAGTGTCCTTCTGTCTTGAACACCAAATTGTGCCTGTTGAGCCGAACTCCCTTACCAATTTGGCTGTAGCTTGCAAACTGATTGGAATTGACAGAACTCAACTGCCTATACAATGACGAACTGGGATTGGACTCGACATCCTCCGGACCGGGTGTGGCTGATTTTTGCTGCGTTATCCCTGTCTGTCCTGCACGCCGTGTCAGATTGCCACTGCTGTTGCCGATGATGCTTCTACCCTGAGCTGTTCTGGCGGCCATTGGCGGGGCGGCATTAAAACTTGCTTGTCTTTTCAAACTTCTAGACCTCATTTTTTCATCTTGCATTTCTTTGTTTTTGATGTTCAGCTCAGTTTCAGTTGTCAACTTCAGGGAATTTGTTGGAGACTGTCCCACATTCCAGTTGGGGTCTGCAGTTTTTTTCAGATGGGATGTTGTGTCATTCACCATTGAGATGGGAAATATTACAGACGGCAAAACTGTTTTCCCTGCAGCAGTACTCTTGCTATTTTCAACTTCTGGTTCGATGCTACAATACATTGGTTGATGGTTATTTAGGCTCTGGTATTCCATTTTCTGTGTCACTGATGAATGGCTGGTGAAACTTCTCACGTCATCCTGTGTATGTTCTGTTGAAGGCAACGTTGGAGTCTTTGTGTTTACTCCTCTTGATTTTTGAAGATTTTTTTTCTGAAAATATTAGTTAGTAATGTGAGGACAAATATTAGCCTTCAACTATTATGACTAGCTTTAAATTTAGTTAACAAGCAATTACTCATGTTAGCTTACAAAAATATTAGGAATTTAAAAACAAAAATAAAGGCGTGGCATTTGTCCATTACTAACCAACCCTGTGTTAAAAAAAATAAATAAATAAATTTTGTAAAAAAGGAAGAAAGAAAGAAATTACAAACAAAAAAACAGTAAAAAATATTTTTGCAAAGACTGTACAGCAATCTTCAGATTATCCATGCTCCTAATTATACATGAAGGTATATATAAGCTTCTAAATCTACATAAATTTGTCTAATTAACTTGTGTTACATAATTGTAACAAACATGATTGGTGATGAAATGCACATTTTATGTTTAATTTTTTGTATAAAGACTAATGTCATTATGTATTACTGAAGTGCATTATTGTTTTTGTGATACTGCATACTGCAATGTAAATCAAAGCTCATGTACCTGTATGGGTGGAAATAATTATATATATTTTTATGGGTGTGGCGTAGATGTTCCCAAGGGTCAAGGAATTCTGTCAAATGATTTTCTTTGCATATTGTAGCACTTTGATATGAAATTTAAAATAATAATATGAAAAATGGGCACGAGATGTTACCAGGAAATGGTTAAGTGATTGTATGTAGAGGTTGATTAGTAGAAGATGGAAGCAATGTAGTAATCATGAGAATACTCAGATGAAATTTTTAGGTGATACAATAAGCAAAAAGCAGGAGATGAAGAGATTTGTCACATGACATTTGTATGTTTGGGTTGGGCAGTATGTTGTTTTCTTCTTGGATTAAAATATTAATAAAGCTGGAAAACCTCACAAAAAAGTGATGATATTACATTTGGGAAATCCTAAGAACTATCAGAATAAATTACATACTAGAAAAATATTAAGAACACATTTTTTAAAATCACTTACTTCAATGTCTTCTTGTATTTCATTGGTCAAATCTTTAATCTCTTCACTGGTCTCTTGAATGAGTTTTTGTATGAATTCTCTGTAAATCAGTTTATTTTATGATTTATTGGACTATACATATAATCTTTCCATTAAAAAATCTTCTTAATCTTAACTACCCCTAAAAAATAAATAATTTAAGTCCTCTTAAGAAACTTAAATTGATCGGCATAGGGCAGAAGTGGAAATTACATATTTTCTACTCACCCTGCAGTGTTCACAGCATTACTGGCTCCTTCAGATCTAGGTGACTGTAGGGAAATTTGAACCTCTGGAGCATTTGTTAGTGGAGTAGTCCTGACATGACCACTCCTGGCTGACTTCACCCGCTGTAACTGCTTTTGGGGAACTGTAAAGAGGTTTTTAATAGATTAAGTAAATTACTATTGCAGCATAGAAGATCCAGTGCTAAATGTAATAAATTTCTATATAAAAAAAAATTGTTTACAATTATATCAGTTTAAAATTAATTAGAGGTTTTTTTTCAAAACAAATTGCATATTTCAATTAAGATAATTATGATGAGTGTTCAATACCTTTTATATCAGATACTTCACTTGCACTCTGGGTACTGGTACTTTGCTTATGTTCTTCCCCCTCATCTTCACCTCTCATTGCTGAAAATTAATTTTTAAAAGCTCAGAATGTTTGTAACTTTTAAAAATATTTTAAAGAACATAAAGACACTCAAAACTGAATAATGTCAAATTTGACCATTCTCAGAAGAATCTATTTAAAATGTTTAAAAACATAAAATTAAAAGCCAATAAAAAAATTTATTTAAAAATTTATTAAAAGTATCAGAAAAACATTTTGTGTTCATTATTTTCACCTTTTCTACTTTTTCGTCCACTTTTGTCCCCAGATCTTTGTCCAGATTTTCTGCTTGCTAATAAAAATTTTAAAAAGACATAAATCCTTATTGTTTAAAAAAAACACTATTTGGTGCATAAAACTTTTTTAAATGCTTAACCCTCAAACTGTGGTCAGCCGATTTCATTGGCCGATATTCTCGTTCTGTGCTGTGGCAGCCGAAAATAACGGCCAATAAAAAACACGGTCCCATAGCAACTTCCAAAATCATAGCCACTTCCTTTTATTAATAATCAAATCAACTTCCGGGTCAAGCTGTTTCTTGGTAACTTAACAATAAGTACTTTTCAATAGGAATTTTATATCGCCTTTTTTTTTAAAGCCTAAATGGCGGAAGCCATGGCCGGGCCTTTAGTGCGAGAACTAATATAAATATTTTTGAAAGCTTTTTAGGAGAGGATTTAAGTGATACTGATGATGATTTTAACATTCCCCATGACATCTCACTTCAGATTCTTCTTTTCGTGACTCTGATACTAGTCTTAGTGATTCTGAAGTAGGCCTACTGAGGCTACTGTTTGACTTCAAGCCAGGCTTGGAGATTGGGCAAGGACTGACTGAATTTTAGTCACAGAAGCTATAAATCAGAACTAATAAATTTTATAGTTAAAGAAACAACCCAAATAAGTTCCACAGTTCCTCTTTAAATGTTTACTAGTCAATAATAACTATTTTGCCTGAGATTTGTATTTTGTACTTGGTTTTAGCTGTGGTCCCAGTTTCTTATATAAATGACCTAAAATTACTAAAATTGCTTTCAGAGGTTTAATTGTAATTAAAACCTTAGCAAACTATACATTTTCTGAAAGATAAATAAATTGAACACCTTAAGATTTGTGTTTTAAGTGTATCTATAAAAATTAATGATGTTATGAGCACTTGAAAGCAAGACATTTTGTTGATTTTTATTTTATTTTTTCTTGAGCACTCCAAGGTCAAGGACACTGAGCAAAAAATTTTTTTACCGGGTGGGCAATAAAGCCAACTTTATCCCCATCCATTTACGTTTCTAAAAATATATAATTATTGGGTTCTTGCATCAATATTTCATTTAATGCAATGTCAAAAGTCACTCAAAAAGCTCTGAAAAGCTCCACACCACAGAATGATGCATACCACAGTTCCAGGGTTAAAAATACCTGACTTGAGAATCAATTCTGTTATTAAAAATGTTGAAATAAAATTTTCAGCTCATGACTGGCTCAAGTATTTATACATAGTTTTAAAAGAGTCTAAATATGATTACAAAGTTTGAAATGAATGATTTTTTAAAAATATTCTCCAAAAATGTTAATCATGTCAAAGAAAGCCCAGAGTATGTGATTTTTTTTTTTTTTTGTGAAACAGTAAACAGTAAATCCTCATATTTATGTATACGAAACTCATTGTTGTCATTATTGTTTGTGAACTATTTCATTTACCATTAAACTATTTAAACACAACAAAAAAATCCTATAACCGGATCCAGTAAAAACAACAGCATCAGCAGTAATACATTCTAATTCATAATTAATAACCACTGCATCATTAAAAAGACCCCAAAAAAACCCAACTTTTTGTCATATTATTTCTATGATCAGGTAGGAGGACACAGCTTGACATCTTGAAAATACCACACGGAAGTTCATAATAAGTTCGCTACAGCAAAAAGTATTTGATGTAGCATTTATTTATATGTGCTCATACCAGCCAGCACCAGCAGTACGGTGATTGTTCTACTTGTTTGAGCATATAAAAGGTGTTTGATGTTTTCTTTACCTGGTTCTTCTGGTGTAGGAGGATGGCTGTCTTGAGAAGCAGGTGGCCCCTGAACAAGTGTCAATTTTACTTTGTTAGGTGCTGAGCTTGCTGCTGGTGGCACAACTGGCACATCTGTAGTGGCTGAGAAAAAAAGCAAATTTAACAACATAATATTTGACATCTTCTGTAACAAACGCAGATGACAAAATATGTCTACAAAAATGGATAAAAACAATACAGTAGCCCTTTTGTTTTTAGCTTTTGAATCACTTGTAGGTACTTAATAAGTGAGGGTGTAACATGCTTTTATACTTAATTTGAAATTGTATATGAAAGAAGAAGTCTTGATTTTAAAAAATTTGTGACATTCATGTATTTTTTTAACTATCATATGTTAAGTTTGCCTGGCATTGAACTATCAGAAAAACTAAATTGCCATTTTATAGCATATAAATTAAATACTTCAAACCATTTTTTGATGGCTCCAATGTTTCATCAAATGGATTTGGATGTTTTTTAATTGGACTGTTCTTGTCACGTGACAGAGCCTCAGTTTGTCTTTGTTGAGCAGCTGATACCTCCAGGATGTGAGGATGGTATCTTCTGTTCATAGGATTGGTAGTGGCATTATGGGCAAGGTGGGCTTTAAGAAGGTCCTCCATGTTGGATGCTTCAGCTGTTTGCGGTTTATTAAAAATAGTTGTCAAATATTTCAACTGAAGAGCGTGACGTAACTGATTGCCAAAAATCACAAACGTTTTTTTCAACAAAAAAATTAATTCTGTTATAGTAACCGTCAAATAAGATTACGTATGGATCAAAGAAAAATTATGAGTGAATTTATTGAAGCAATATCAAGAATAACAAGATGCAATGGCAAATTCATCGATAGGCGGGTTATTTCCTTGTCTCACTCAGTTTAAAATGGACCAACAAAAACAAAGATCTTGTTGAAAAGATATTTCAAGCCTTCCTTGTTTACAACTATAAACTAACAGAGGGGAAATAAAGTCACTAAAAAAGATGTTAAAGTAATTTATTAGTTTTTTAACATTTGAGCGAGAGAGAAAAAAAGTTAAAATAAGTTGTGTTTTTTGTGCTCTCCAAGAAATGTATATAGATTATGTAGATATTTATGGAGGTTAATGAGTAAAGATAAGAATAAGATTTAACTCAATGAGGATAAATTATGAAAATGATACTTTAATAATTGTAAAGTTTTTATTTTTTGTTATGATGTTGAAAACTTGATGAATCTGTGAATTTATGTTTATTAAATTTAAAATAATATTAAAGTAAAAAAAAATTAACTTTACAGTTTTTAGGCACATACATTAATGTATTTAAGACAAAGTATGAAATTTAAAAAAAAAATAAATAAATTTTTAGAACAAAAAATTGAACTTTTAGAAGTATTATGTTTTTATACTCTTTCTTAGCAGACAATAAATGATTTCCATTAATTTAATTGTTAGAGAAATTTAAAAATGAAAACTAGCTACTATTTAAATACATTTTCTAGTTAAAGTTAAGGTTCATTGCAATGGTATGAAGTTAAAGATATCACCCCCAGTTGAATAGTGATGGGAGTGGGTAGCAAAGCAGGAGGGAGGGTATTTGACATTTTTTTAACCACCCTATTAACTGAACAAACTTATTAAATCAATACTTTTGGGAGCATTACTGATGGAATGTTGTTCGTAAGTCAACATCGACTAGGACCATCTGGTCATCCTGTTAGGGTGGTGGGGGGGGGGTCCACAGTGAGTTCTTAGGTGGCTTGCTAGTTCGATCCGTGCTCGGAATAATCTCTGGCACCGCAGGCAGGGGATAGTTGCTGTAGTCGGTAATGTAAGGTTGCTCTTTCGAGCCAGCCTGTGTGTCTCAGCTGTGGCTATCCTACTGGCGTCATGAGAATGAGCCCCCTTCTTGACAGCTGACCTCCACCTGGCTCTGTCCTGGGCTGTCTGCACCCATTCAATAGGGTTGATGCTGAAAGCCTTTAGTGCTGCTTTCAGTGAATCTTTGTAACGCTTTTTTTTACCTCCTTGGGAGCGCTTGCCTATCGTGAGTTCTCCGAAGAATATCTGTTTAGGGAGCTGGTTGTCTTTCATATGGGCTACGTGTCCCACCCAATGGAGTTGAGACTGCATCAGAGTGGTGAAGATGCTAGGTAGGTTTGCTCTAGCGAGGACTTCCATGTCAGGCATTTTGTCTTGCCACCTGATGCCGAGAAGTTTCCTGAGGCAGCTTGTGTGAAAGTGGTTTAGTTTCTTGGCGTGATGCTGGTAGACTGTCCACGTTTCAGATCCATAGAGGAATGTCTAGAGGTCTGCTGCACTATAGACCTTGATCTTCGTTTCTCATCTGATACCTCGCCTGTTCAAAGCAGAGCTGCGGAGTCTGCCAAATATTGCACTAGCTTTTGCGAGTCTGGCATTCAATTTGTACTCCATGGAATAACTATTAATGCACAAGTGAGACTTAAGTATTGACATGTCAAAGTGCATGATCTCTCAATATTTAGTAGCAACGATGTCCTGTGATGGTTTTAATAACTCACTATCTCCCCCTGACCAAAATCAGGATGAACAACAGAGGCTTTTTAAGCAAATCAAGTCTGGTGACCTGGGAGAGCACTGATTGGACATTTCTGTCATCAAGGGTTTAAAGGGTTGTTTTTCAGTTGTCAGACAGAAGTGGGCCCATATTTGGGAAAACAATGAAAAAATTAGATAATTTTATCAAAGTGCTTACACTTTATAAGAAATACACAACAGAAGGAAAATAAGAAAATTTGGTCATGAAGTCTGTTTTAAGAAGTATGGTATCCCTCTAAGCTCAGGAGATACATTTTAAAAACAGTGAAGCTGAGTGTATAAATATGAGGAATATTTTTAAACTATTTTAAAAAATGATAAAATGATTGAAATGTTCTTTAAGAAAACTGTTATCTTTAGATTTAAAAAAAAAGAAACTATGTTTCTACATATACCAAAGAAGCCCTTACATTTGGGGACTTCCCTTCTCCCAAAGAGACGGGATATCTTAAATGGTGGATCACCTAAATAGTGAAGAAAATAAGCAAACAGTGCTGTTACCAGTGCACAAATTCAAGTCAACAGTGCGGTGTCACTGGGTTACTTTAGGCATTAAAAAAAACTCTAGGAGTTTGAAAAGAAGAAAATTTAGAGGTCAAATTAGAGGTGTGATAATATTCTTGTGTATAATGACATACTTAAGTCACACTTGCCAGAGTAAAAGTGATTGTAAATTCAAAATTGAACTGATTTAAAAAATATTGAGTTCATACTGAGCAATAATTTCTATGTAAGGGGGAAAATAAAAATGACACCATCTAGTAATAATTCTGTACAGCTCTATGTACCGTATATCAGAGGTGAAGATGGTGCCTATAAAGTCAAAGAATAGCTCTGATTATAACCATTATCTAACAGGTTTTTAAAAAATCTTTTGGGTGAAGATGTAGGCCTATAGCTATGTTAAAAAAAGATGGTTATTATTTACTTTTCATCACCTACTAGTAGGAGATGGCGAGAAGGGAGCCATGAAATTAAATAGAATAAGGTTTAATATTAAGTTTTAACATCTTATACTAACCACAGAAATACAAATATGATGTATATTATAAACTTTTTTGAAAAAATAAAAATACATGAATTGTATATGTTTTAATTAGTAGGTTCAAGCATGTTTAGCCAGGTAGGTGGCATGTTAGTAACACAATGATCACAGAGAGGCTGCAAAGGCAAGGAAATAGCGAAGCTCATGCAGAACATTACTTCACTACCTCTCTTGGCAGTTTTTATCTGTCTGGCTGCCTCTTCCTGTAGCCATTTGGGAGTCAGCTTTCGCAGTTCAAGTTCATGATAAACAGATTGGAACCTATCTGCATCTGTATTAGCTGAATTAAATTTGTTATTTCAGTCAGATAAATGTAATTTATTTTTGTTTGTGCAATATTATGGATCACAGTAAAAGGAAAATAAACAGATTTTTCTAGTATTTTTATATGCATTCAAGCAAACATATCATGAAAAAGCACACCGATAATTGTTAAAATGTAGAAGTCAATTGCACAGGAACTTTGTTTAAGAATTCTAATAAGGAAATAAAAATATTCGGGTCAGAAACCTTGAATTTATTAATTGTGCTGCTTATCTTTCCACCTTGTCCAATAAAAATGTTATCATGGTTCACAGTTATGAGAAAAATTTCATTGTTGTCTACTCACTCTATTTTTTTTTTTTTTTTTACATGGTATTTGGTAACATCTAATTATTAAATTATAAGCATCATCAATTTTTAAGTGTCTGTTATATCACTGAAAGAAAAAGTCAAACAAGCTGAATAAATTAAAGAGCTTAATTAAGTTAGTTTCTATAATTGCCTTTCAAAGAACTAAATCAATCGGGTTACTAGATTAGGGCCAGTACACAGCAATTTCAAGAGGTTACTTCACGGGGACAAAAATTATATAAAATCTTTCTAGCAGGACTAATTATTAAATTTTGTTAATTTTTTTCAAGTACATGTGTCCCTTTTCTTAATAGTGTAAATGCAACCTAAGTTATGGAAAAATTAATCATGATTACATGTGATAAAAACAATATCATTGTACAGATATAATTTAAAAATATAATTCATGTAAGAGTATATAGTAATCAAGCATAATTAGCCATACATGTCTTTTGTTGAATATATTAGTTGATTGTAAAATTAATGCAGCCACGCAGGACACGTCTAGGAGAGGTTTCAACTGCTGATTTACCTTCACCAATAGTTTGAGAACCTGGGGTTTTCTCACGCCTTTCAAAATTCTGTCGATCAGCGTTGGCCCCAGAGTAGCGAAAATGTACAACTAAAGAAGCATCAAGATTGAGAGTTCCAAGAGAAATAATATTTTTGAAAGATATAAAATTACACAGAGTGGAATACAGAGCGTATCAATAATAATATCTACAAACTCACTGTGCAATAATCAAAGCCCATTAAATTTTTATTGGGATGTATCTAATTTACTTACATCAGAATATAATTGATCTACTTTAATTAAAATATAAGCATGGGAATGTATAAAAAGTAATGCAGTAAAATCTCCGGGACTCAAATACATAACAGCCACTCCTCCTAGCCTATCATACAATATACGTATCTGGCAAATTTGATATTTAGCCATTTAACAGTAATCTCTATTGAGTTCAATGGATAGTACAGCCATTAGTTTTTCACAGTTAATAAATAACAGGGTAATTTAATATGATAAAATTTGGAAAAATCAATATATTGATTGTATGTAAAATTCACCAACATGCATTACATAGCATAAGGAAAAATTGTAAGTATATTACTATTTACTGTAAGTAGTTTTCGATCATTAAAAAAAAATCCAATTAATAATTAAATATAAATATTAACATTTAATTAATTTGTTAATTTTTACTTTTACTCAATTTTTTAAAACTTATATGGTAATTCATATCAACTTAATAACAACAGTTGAAAAGCTGATTATAAATTATATTAAGTTAAGGAAGAGCACTAAATCCTGTTCCATAAAAACTGCAAACTGATATATTAAAGGATTAAAAAACATGCAAAATATCTGATTCCAGAGCTGTGGTCTGCACCAACTAATATTGTGCAAAGTTTCTGATGTTCTTTTTAACACCAAAAATAAAAAAAATTGTAATTAAAATAGTATTTGCCATTAGAATAAATATTAGCTCTAAGGGAAATCTAGTATCAGATATGTCATTAGTAAAGAAGTTTATTGGTGTTAAAGGAGGAAAACTTACAAATAAATGTACAATTTTCTAAGCCTTTAAAATACTTAAAGTCCAGAGGTGAAGCTACATTGCATTTCAGTGTTCTATTTCCATTGTTCCTAGTTACCTTGACTAGACCCCATGACAAAAGTGTCAGGGGACCAAATATCTGAAGTTGCCATTGCAATTTTTGAAGGCTGCTTGCCATTTATAGTTGATGACTTAATCCACTCTCTTCTTGCTGCAAAGTTTTAGGTTTAATTAAAAAGAAAAAAATACTCCTCTTGTTACTTGAGATTGATAAAATATAGAATTATTGTTGTGAACACTGGTATCTACAATGACATCTTTAGGGGTATTTGTATTTTAAAAATCTTTTTGAGATTAAATTATTCTTTTTAAGCATCAATTAAGTATTCCACAAATAAATGGTGTATCTTGAAATGTCACTGGAACATATGTGCAGCATTTTAACCCAACTTTGTAATTTTTTAGTGTGGGGGGAAAAAAACAAGATCCAATGCAGCTGTTGAGGTTTTGATAAATACTAAGCTGTTGTATAACAGCTGAGTAAGAGCTGTAGTTGCAGCAATGAGAAAGCACAAATGGAATGAGTACAGTAAGTTCTCATTGAAAGCCCATTTCAGATAGGCATGGTTTAGTAATTCCATACAATAACAACATAGAATTATTGAGAAAAACTTTTTTTTTGTAGGATTTAGCTCACAGGCAACAAACCGTGTTAAAGGTTATAATGAATGAAACAATATCCCGGTAATCTCATACTTTCATAGATCAGATAATAATATGCAGCAAACTTAATAGGCACAGCATCCTCAGAGATAAATGTATTAAATTTGTTAGAATGAATTATACATTTTTTATATTTATTATGTATTAGAAAGTAAAGTAAATTGTGTTTTTTTATAACATCTGTAATAATAAAAAATACTCAGGTGCAATTGTGTAAGAAATTTAAAATTATTTCCATTTTCAGCCCAAATAATGACCAAACAAGGAAAAATGATAAATTTACATTTATCACTACTTGGCAGTATCTCAGTATCCTTGTAACATTCCATTTCTCCTAACAAATAGGGTAATAAATTTCAGTTATTGAAGTAGTGTACTTGGTCACAGTCAAAGATTTCACAGATTTAGTTTACAAAGCAATTTTAATCCTCAATATTGAATTTGTGATAAAATGCATCACTTTATTTCTTCAAAAGAAAACAACCACACGTTTCATGATTGCATTTAAAGTCATGTATCTAAAGTCATATTTTTTTTTGTCTGAGATTGTTAAAAAAAAAACTTTTTAATTTTTTAAATTGAAGAAAAAGAAAGGAATTTTGAATCAATTTCCATAAAAATAGTTGGTTAAAAATGTTCTTGTTTAATTCTTTCTACAAATTTGGAGCAGAATAAAAAGGAAAAAAAAATTCAATGCTACAAAAAATTTAGTTATTTTATATTTGAACAAAAATTATATTTGTATTTAATTTGTAAAATGTTCTCGTTTAAAAAAAATATATACTTTTTAGTGACTAATGCTATGCTAAGAGGATAAAAGCTTATACAGTAGGAAAAAAAAAGGATTCCTCATCATAGTTTTTACTTTTTCTTGATTTTAAAAGAAAGTTAAAAAGTAAAGTTTCTTTAAGCCATGAGAGAAAAGATAGAGATTAATTGTTCAAGGCCATAGTCATGTCAAGAATTTATATAATTTCCATTAAATTTAACAATCAAAATGTGTTTTATTCTGAAAGTTAAATTAAGGAATTTAATATTACACATTGCATAAAATGAAATTTATTTTATATGAGAAATTAATGATGAAACTTACAGTTTTTTAGAACATAAGAAAATGTGAGAAGTATTGATAATATGCATTTTTTTTAAAAAATGGTGCTGATTTTTAAAGTTCCAACACCAAACAGATATTAAAAGTTTTGTAAGAAGACAACCCAGTACCTTTGTTTTGGTTGCAATCCAGTTTAACAAATGCTGTGATTGGGGATAAATAAATGCAGGAAATTTAAATTGATTAAATTAAATTATGTCATAGAATCAAATGTAAGTATAAAAGACAAAGGGACCAGTCATTGCATTATCTTTAGCCTAAAAGGTGCAGGCCAATTAAAATTATAATATCAATTAATAAATCTCAAATATTTACATCATTAACTAATACTGTAATGTTAATTTCCTAAAAGAAATTTGTTACCGTATTTTAAATGCTTAATTCTGAGATAGAATGCTTTGTTGTTTTAAAATTTGTGAAATGCAGTGAAATAAGCAAAATACAATATATGATTACAAAACAATAATTGAGATGTTACATTATAAAAACACAGGAGATGGTAGATATACTAAGTGCAACAGGAGGAAGTATGTATAATTATTAATATAGCCATTGTTCTTAACACAGGGATGTAACTTGAAAGTAGGTCAAATCAATCTTATTACTAACTAAACACAGGGATGTAACTTGAAAGTAGGTCAAATCAATCATATTACTAACTAAACACAGGGATGTAACTTTAAAGGAGGTCAAATTATACTACCAACTCAACACAGGTAATTGTAATGCTAGTCCACAAATAGTAAAACACAACAATAAATATTCTTCAATCATATAAGAAACTTTCAGGCCTACCTGGATCTGTAACAATGGGGACATTGTTGCTGATATATGCAGCTGTCAGGGCTTCAAGATAGTCATGCTGAGAAAAATAATAATAAAACATTAAAACTATATTTCTTAGAAGCAAAATACTTATTAACGTAAGAGCTACTTGGAATATCTTTGTCAATTAAACCCACAAATATAAAGAATAAAATGACAATAATAATATTATTATATTTTCATGTTCTTTTCTTTTTTTTTTTTTCAAAATTAAGAGATGACAACTAAATCTACGATAAAATTTAATTTTGTAATACAATTTGTGAATAAAAAAACAATCAAAGTTATTTCATTTATTAAAAATGGTATTAAACAACATTTTTTAACAAAATTATCTAACACTAAGGCTTAACCTGTCAATTTTAAACTGAGAATGGGTATGAACTAATCCAATTTAAAAAATGTACGATTTAAACACTTGAGGCTTTGGAAACAAGAGTCATTTATAAACACAAGGTATTATTATACCCTTTTCTGTTGCTTTTCTTCAAATCTCTCCTGAACAAAAACAGGGATTCCAGAGTTAGTACGTTCATCAATTGCTCTTGTACGTTTGGTGCCATTGGAAGTATATTTCATGGGCTAAAAGATAGTAAAAAAAAGTGATTTACAAGACCTTAACAGTGGAAGAATTTTAATTGGGTTTCATATTTAATTTGTTTCATACAGGGCCATCCAAGGAAAAGTGTTGCCTGTGGCAAAGCCTGAAAATGGCACCAATCAATATAATGAAACAGGTTTTGCTCAGGGCGGACCATTAAAATAGCGATTTTGGCGCCCCTTGTCTTTGTGAAGTGCGTGGGATTTTATCGTTTACCTATCTATGAAGGACAAAATTGACACACACCCCACCCCCTGATGTTGGTGCTGTGGTGAATTCTCTCTTTGCACCCCCCCCCCCCCNCCCCCCCCCCCCTTTTTTTTTTGTGTTTTTTTGCAAGACTCTCGTTCCATAGGGTGCTCTGAACCTATGAAACTTGATTCATTCCATGAAATATATTTGAAAAAATTAAGTGATAATTAAAGCATAACAAATTCTGCTAATTAAAATAATACTCAGAAATGTTTCTGAATTAATTAAAATTAAGGTAAAAGTTTCCTTTTTTTTTTTTTTTAAATATTATTTTGTTGAATGTGTGATGATGAAAATTATTATATATTATATTTTAACAGTGCTTAGAATGTTGTTTAGGAATTTTTAATTTACCTTTGATGCTTCTTGCTTCAGTGGTTTGACCTGATTGTTCCTCATTCTTTTATCCTCCTATGATGAGAAAACATGGTATCATAATTTAAAAAATTCAAATTAGCAGAATATGCGGCTGCATTGATTAGCCTTGTTTTTAACAAATATATCACATTAATGGTTAATATTATAGTTTTAAACTGTTCAAATAAAATAATGTTTTAAGCTTAACAGTATTAAATATAAATGTCAATACAAGTACAAGAACAATAAGAAAATAGAAGAGTAATAAATTGAGTTAACTCAACTTGTTTTAGGAGAGCATATTTACTTACAACTGGCGTTGTCTTTCTTTGATCCTCTTTACTGGCTTTATCTCTGTCTTTCTTGGATTTTAATTTCTTCTTTTTAGGCTATAAAAAGTTTGAATAGAGATAAGTTAGCATTAGAAAAAAATAAGCATGTTATTTTTATATTGAAAATGACTTTAACAAATTAAATCATAAAACTATCTCTAACAAAAATAATTAATGGGACGAACTCTTACTGCACTTCTACTAAATTAAAATTGTTTAGCATTAAAACCCTCATTAATTTTAATGTTGTCAATTTAATTTTTTAAAACTGAAATGGGATGGTTGAACAAATTAACTGAAGGATAGTGAAACAATAATGATGGGGGGAAAAACAAAAAGTATGATGGCAGCTGTTTATGTACTGCCAGATATATACATGTTAATAATACAGAGGTACGGTAATGAAATCAAATAGGCCTGCGTTACACAAAAACAACAGTAGCATTTTTAATACCACTTGTGATAAAATATGCAAAGGCGGATAAAATTCTGTGTGTTAAATTATTTGTCAGTCTAAGTCAATTTTTCAGAGACAATTCTAAAATTATGTTTATCGATTGATAAAAGAAAATATTCAAGATGCTCTCTTTATCAAAATTGAAATTTGTGCAAAAGTAACATGACAAAAACAAAAACTGAAAATAATTAAACAACCTTTAAAAATACATTTTTGTGTATAAATCCTTTATAAAATGTAATTTTGATCTATGGCTGGGGGGGGGGGGATTTTAAGGTTGAAAATTTGACAAAACATGCATACTAGTAAAAGACTTTATAAGAATCCCAATTAGTGCTCAAAAATTGAAATTTGTGCAAAAGTAACATGACAAAAAAAAAAACTGAAAATAATTAAACAACCATTAAAAATACTTTTTTGTGTATAAATCCTTTATAAAATGTAATTTTGATCTATGGTTGGGGGGGGGGGATGTTGAGGCTGAAAATTTGACAAAACATGCATACTAGTAACAGACTTTATAAGAATCCCAATTAGTGCTCCTTCCAAGTCCAAGGTTCACAACCGCACATTTTTTTAATGCCCCTGAGCTATATTGATATTCTAATGACCTACCCACTTTTACACCACAGATTTATTTCATGAACTATTTCAGAAAAAAAAAGAGAAAACATTATGCACCAAACGCATTTTAAAAGAATCTTAACGAGAATTTGATTTGGTAAATCAGTGTCATCATATTTTTCTTCATCTTCCCCTTGAAAAAGGGTGATTTGGGTGTTGGGGGTAGGGCTGAAAATTTTACAGAATGTGTTGTCATTGACAACGAGCCTATGTGCCAAATTTCAGCTTGATAGGTTGATGGGAAGTGGGTCAATTAGTCATTTGAAGATTTTGCCAGTCTTCCCACCCAGCCAGCCATCCTTGAACAAAAGCGAAGTTAATATAAAGGATTTTAAAAAACTATGAACAGGAAAAGAAATAAAATAATTAGAAACATTGAGTGTTAGAATGTTGGATTCAAACAATAGCTTATAATTATAAGTTATCTCAGCATTTCCATTTTCAAAAAGATTATTAGAATTATTATTAGTTTTTAGGATTTTAAAAAAAAAGAATTTATTGAGGTCAGCAGGCCATATCCCAGGAGTATAGACTAAATAATCATGTGCGGTATACAAAAATGGTTGATAAGTTGGTAGTGCTTTTGAAATAAAAGTACCCATGTGCAGTTTGGTGCAAACCACAATATTAAAAAGATAATTTTAGTATACTATAAGGTGTAGCGCAGGCTCCAATAAAAACAGAAGTTAGTTTTTACATATAAAAGAGTTCATAAAATCAGAGAATACATTTTAAAACATACAGCATTAATTGCCTGAAATTTTAAAATAGAAATTTTTGAAAGTCATCTAAAAAGCAGAACCAAACTTTGAAAAGGAAAAATGAAATTGTTCTTCATACATAAATATGTATTTTCATTATTATAGGTTTTATTTTAAATGAAAACCATAAACAAACTTTTATATAACCCTCTCATAAGAGTCAGCATTGATAATATCAGTGTATATATGACACCAAATGATATGAATATAAATTTCTAAAATTAGCAGCAAAATTTTGTTTTAGCAATTGAGTCTTAATGAATGTTATTTATTTTTTTACACAAATCTGAGACACAGTTTATTTTTAGATGGGTATATTAGATGGTATATTACATGGGTATATTAGATGGTATATTATATTGGAACTATATCCAGCTATTCTGTTAAAAGCTCAATTTAAAAACAATAAATATTAACGAAAGCTTTGTAACCATTTTGTTTCTATATTCATCAAAACTATTAGGACCCAAAACAATGTGTTTCCCACTAGCTGGAAAGCTTTCCAGACACAAATAGGACTAGCAGGCACCCTGCGCTTTGTGCATAGATAATGATCTTCCATCTAGCACCTCCCCAGGTGGTGGATAGGGGAAAGCACACAAGATATGGTGGGTACTGGGTAAATAAAATATCCGGAGCGGACCAAAATCAGAACCTGCTGCCTTGTAGGAAGTGAAGGGATCCACAAAGGCCATGGAATCTTACCCAAAAATTAAGGCAGCTACCTAGAGAGCTGTGAGGGGTGGCCCCCTAGATAGTTGTGCACAGGGCTAACAACCTGGGCATGTAAAAAATAAATTGTTACAAAAGCCACACTACAAAATAAACCCGGACTGATTACAATGGAAATCAACCTATTCCTGGATATAGACATAATTTTTGGATTGCGAATTAGAATGTAATAAGCCTGTTGAGAGCAGGAGCCTTAGCCAACCTAATAGACCAACTAATTAAATATAAAATCTCTATAGCAGCCTTGCAAGGAATTTGATGGAAAAATCCAGACATCCCCAAGACAAAAGGCTAGATCATATTTTATAGTGGCAACAATACTAAAATTCTTGGAACAGGATTTGCTGTGAAGAAAGAAGCCATGGGTGCATTGGTAGGTTTTAAATCAGAGAATGAAAGATTGTGCTCTTTGCATGTGCGAGGGAAAAGGTTTAATATAACATTTATAAATGTTCATGCTCCCACCCAAGATACAGAATGTCAGATAAAAAAATCCTTTTATGAGACGCTGGTAACGATCTATGATGAGCCACCATGACATGATATTAAAATATTGATTGTCGACTTTAATGTAGGGTAAGAAAAAGTGTTCATGCCAAATATTGGCAAGGAGAGTCTACATGAAGAATCCAATGACAATGGGATCCGACTCACAGACTTTTTTTTAAGAAAAGGGATGACATCAGCACCAAGTTTTCACACTAAAATGTACATAAAGTTACTTGGAACTCACCAGTTGGAATAACTCACTACCAAATTGACAATGTTCTTATCGATTAGAGGCATGGGTCAGCCATACTAGATGTAAAAAGCTATCAAGAGGAGATGCAGAATCTGACCATCTACTTGTAATTGTTAAATATAAACAGAGAAGAAGCATAATTCACAATGGCCGACATCAAAGAGAGAAACGCTATGATTACCAAAAACTTACCAAAGACCCACTAACCACAAAAGCTTACCAGGTAGTAGCAAATGAAGTAGAAGCACAACTAGAAGCATCACAGGAGGAAGTAAACAAGGAAAACAACCAATAGGAACAGTGGGATAGGATAAAAAAAATGCTATGGAAAAAATCATCAGAAAAAGTAGTAGGATTTCAGTAAACTAACAGTTGAGTTGGCTGGTTAGTTTGATAATGAATACAGTGAAACTGTTCAAGAAAGGAACAAGGCATGAATAATCATGATACAAAGGGAAACCAACCTAAACTACAGTTTCAGCTCTGGATTCTCAACAGAAACTCAATTAATCATCACTACCAATGACCTCCTCGCCTCCTATGACAAAGGTAACCAGGTTGATATGACAATTCTCAACTTCTCCAAGGCCTTCGACACTGTTCCACACAGCCTTCTTCTACATAAGCTTCACCACTACGGCATTACCAGCAACCTTCACTCCTGGCTCTCAACATTCCTAACACAACGTACCATGCAAGTAGTGGTAGATGGCGTCCGATCAGGGAAAGCTACCGTAGACTCAGGAGTTCCTCAAGATACAGTGCTGGACCCCCTTCTCTTTCTCTGTCACATAAACGACCTCCCTTATACTGCAAAATCCCAAGTGAGGCTGTTTGCAGATGACTGTCTTGTATACAGAGAGATAAATGGCTACAATGACCACAACCACCTCCAAGCAGATCTGAAGTGCCTTATGAATTGGGCGGACAAATGGGGCATGAAATTTAATGAAACCAAATGCTACACAATGAGCATCTCAAGAAAAAAGACATCAACCTATATGTACTGTCTAATCAAGACCATTCTCCAACAAGTATTCAATAGTCCATACCTTGGAATTCTCTTCTCAAATAACCTAAAATGGTCACCCCATATAAACACAATTTCAAAAAAAGCCAACACCACACTTGGTTTCATACAAAGAAATCTGCACCACTGCCCAACTTCCTGCAAACGAAACGCCTATCTTGCACTCGTCCGTCCACTACTAGAATATGGTGCAATTATCTGGGACCCACACCTTAAGCAAGACGTGGACAAGATGGAGCGAATTCAACGTAACGCGGTGCGCTTCATTGCACATAACTACAAATCCACCACTCCTGGCTTCGTCACTGGCCTCTTAAAAAGATTTGACATCCCCCCCCCCTTAAAGACAGACGAGAGAGACTCCACCTGATATTCTTATATAAAGTGGTCATGGGACTGGTGCCGGCCATCCCAGCAGGCACATACCTCACCCCACAGAAACCGGGTCGATTGATCAGAGCCAAACGCTCACTAAACACTGATTTCACCACTGACATTCCCATAAACAATTACACCCGAAACAACAGTAAATGCTTCATCGTGTCTCGGTGCAACACAGTGCAGTATAAACAATCATTCTTCCCACACACAATAATTGCTTGGAACCACCTGGACAATGCCGCTGTGGACTCAACGTTAGTTGAAAGCTTCAAGGCTGCCCTGGCATCTCCTAGAAGCTGTTAGAATAGCAACATCGCTCCCCAACCGTTGCACAGATGCCAGTATATGGATGCAGCAACGAACACTAACAGAACCAGAACCAGGAAGATGTGACAAAAATGCAATGAAGTAAGAAGGAAAGCCACAAAATGTATAGAAAGAAGAAAAGGGGATGAGAAAAAGCTTAACTAAAATAAATAGACGACTTACCAAGAGAGGGAAATATTAGAGGAATGTACATGAAGATAAAAAATGAAAAGAATGGATACCAAGCCAGACCTCAAATGTGTGAGAACAATGATGGAGAAGTAATTACAGAAAATAGCAAAGTACTGTAAAGATAGACTGAATAAAGTGAGGGCAAACTAAATGCAGACAATGGACAAGATGAAAATTATCAATCACCACATGTAGGACCAGTAATAAACTTCTAAACTTTGGAAGAAACTACAGAAGTAATCAATTCTATGAAAAACCACAAAGCCCCTAGGAAAAGACCTCATCACAGCATAACATTAACTATGGAGGAAGAGAAATACACACTTAAACACATATACTTACAACTTAAATTTGGCAAAAAGAGAAAATCCCAACAGAATGGGAAACAGCACTATCAAAAGCCTTTATACACAAGAAAGGTTCCAAATTTCAGTGCACAAACTGCAGAGCAATTTCCCTATTCAAAGTTAAATTAAAGATACTGGCAAAACTAATTGCCAAAAGTCTACAACAGTACACTGAACAAATACTAGGTGACTACCAATGTGGATTCAGACAAAACAGATCAACGACTGATCAGATATTCACCATCAGATGCCTATTAGAGAAGTGCTATGAATATTATATCCTAGTACATCAACTCTATGTGGATTATAAAATGGCCTATGACAGCCTCAAAAGAAAATATCTATATGAGACTTTGCAGGACTTTGGCATACCCAACTGACAAGACTTATACATGTAATATTAAAAAAACTGTAACAGCAAAATTTAGGTTCAAGGAGAATATTCAAGTGAATTTCAGAATAGACGAGGCCTAAGACACTGCCTTGTATGCTTTTAACCTAACATTAGAGAGAGTTATAAGAAGCATACATATTGACACCTGAGGAACAATAACAGGATACTTTCTGAGGGAAACCCAAGACCCACAACCAAAGGGCACACTCTACAAGTCTACAACCAGCCACTTCAGTATCTTGCATATGCTGATGACATAGCACTGCTAGGGAAAAGTAGTAAAAACATATCAAAAGCCTTTATTGAATTAGAAGACGCATCTCTACCAGCAGGGCTGGAAGTAAACAAAAAAAAACAAATTACATGACTTTGTTAAGGGAAGAACAGAAAGGTGAAACCATTAAAATTAGAAATCACTTTTTTGAAAAAGTAAATCAATTCAAATACATAGGATCTTTATTTAATGAAAGAAATGAATTACTAACAGAAATCAAAGAAAGAATATTTGCCTGAACCAGGGCGTACGTCAGTAGTCCGAAAATACTTAGAAGTAAAAACCTTACAAGAAAATCAAAGAAAACTATTTATAAAACTGTAATCAGACCAGTTGTAACATACGCATGTGAAACTTGGACCCTAACAAAAATGACAGAAAACCTGTTAACCACATGGGAGAGAAAAGTTTTCCGGAAAATATATGGACCAACAAAGGATGAAGATGGATGGAGAATATGAACCAACCAGGATTTGTCTATATCAGGATCCCACGTTAGTAGCTGGAAAAAAAAAGGGCAGGCTTTGCTGGGCGGGACATTTAGAAAGAATAGCAAATAACAGAGGGGTGAAGAGGGTGCACCACCAAAACACCTCAAAACAGCTCAAAGGCAGACCCAAGCTTAGATGGATGGATGATGTGGAAATAGATCTACAGCAGTTGGGAATCCAAGGATGGAAAATAAAAGCATTTGTTAGGTCTGAGTGGAAAGATGTGATAAGGCAGGCCAAAGCCCTACATGGGCTGTGGCACCAAAGCGCACTCATCATCTACTATAGCTTTGGTCATCTTGGCATGCAAAAAATGAACAACTTATTCCTAAAAATATTATGGTAATTAAATAAATGGTATTGGTTTCCAAGATGTGGTTTTATTTGAAACTGGATATTCTACAAATCTATAAGTATTCACTTTGTGTCATGAAAAAGAGCAAAACCTGTGACTTAATCACTTACCCTTGGTGTAGCAAACTGTAAATGTACAGGTGGACCATCAGATATAGAACTGTCTGAGCCTCCATCACTGTTAAAAATGAAAATCATGTGGGGGGAAAAATTTAAAATAATGGTCTTTGCTACCAGTTAAAAGCTACTGTTAATATTTAGGTTTAGAATGAGAATCTTATGTTAAAGGTGAAAAAAAATAGTGAGCATTTATTGCTTAAAACTCTATCATGCATGAAAGAAATGTTTTTGGATTCCAGGGCCAAATGAAATTTTATTGTCTTTTTGTAATTCACAAAATCAACCTCTTCTCTTGTTTTTAAAAATGAACACTTGAAAGTACACCAACAGAAATATGGTATGAAAACAGTGATTTGGGAATACTGCATGTTAAGAATTTCTGCCAAGAACAACATATCTTTGGTGCTGTTTAACATGTTCACTTTTAAGTTCTATTTTCTGACAGTTGATCTCTTGTGCTTGTGTCACTCTACTTTACAGAGTTTGTCATAGCCAGTATTAAAATGCATCAATATGTACAATGACTTTCCATGCTATTGAAAGTAACAGAATTGAAGTATGACTAATGTACCTAGACTCAGTGTCCGTAGAGAAATCACTGAACTCATCTGCATCTTCAGGGTTCAAGCCTTTCTCTGCCAGTTTGGCCAACACCATCATCTGATGTTTCTCCTTGAGGTCATCCAGAATTTTGTTGTACTAGGATATAGGATAAGAGAGACAAACTGTTCATCTGATAACAAAATTACCACAGTCCATGGTAAAACGTATGCTATATCTAAGTCATTAAAAAATCATTTAAACAACTTTTTAATGGTAATGATAGAATATAGAAACATTACATTTATTAAAAAATGAATCAACCTCTATTATAACTCCAGTAGTAACCTAAAATTTAAAAAATAATAATTTGAAAGAAGGGGGAAACTCTCAAATTGAATGCAATTTTCTTTTTATTCCTTAACCAACTTATACCACTTAATTGAGCAGTTCCAAATCAATGTGTTATGCATTGTAAATAAAGTACACAAGATAATACTATTCTAAAATATTGTACATTTCATTTTATATTCCTTCTGGTGCAGTTATTGAAACTTATATTTTCGTTGTGTGCAAATATATTAGAACTGTTACATTATATTACAAGCATTACACACCATGTAATGTAAAAATAAATGAAAACATTATGCAAAGTTAAATCTGAATATGAAGGGAAGTTTGAGATTGATTTATGCTAGGTCAATGCCAATTTAAATAAGTGTGGCCACAAATTTTACTGATCAAATGCTTCATTATTCTTTTAATGTATTTTTTATTTAATTCAATGTTATTTCAGACTAGAATTTAAACTTTTTATCTACCAGTAAAAGATTATTTTATTATTGAGTTTTGATTGATTTATTGATTGAATACTTATATAGTGCTTGGATCCATGCTACTTTAGTTCACTCATCCTACTGATAATTTTTAAAAAAAATTAGTTTACCCATCCTATTAATAATTTTTTTAAAAATTTAAACAACTTTAAATAATACCCAAGAACCTTAATCATGATTTCATATAGAAATAAACACTTAAATAATATACAAAGTTGTTGAGCTCACCGGCAGGTTTAATTTAGGTATATTTCATTTGAACTCTAAACAAGCTCTCAATAAAAAATTTAATAATTGAAAAACCAAAAAAATACACATGCAAAAAGTTGTTAAATTTATGATAATATAAAGGGTTAGTTACCATGAGTGAATCAGTGTCCAATGTGAAAAGTTAGAAAAGAAAATGGAAAAGAGGTTGAATGACAATGGTTAAAACATGGAAATAGGTCATCAGCAGTTTGTCAAAAGTCCATCAAGATTTAAATTACTAAATATTGAAACACTAAAATTGAGAACTACAAAAACGGCAGTAAAACATTTAAACAGTATGGCTTATAACAATATCGCCAAAACTTTTCATATTTCCTTAAGCATTATATAGATTTATATATATATAAAGTTGCTCAAGGAATGCCAATTTTTAAATTTAATTATAGAAGCAATTATTTCTCATGAGTGATAATTTTGTTTAAATTACTTTTTTAAAGACATGAAATATCCAATCAGGACTATTAATTAATTATTTTTTTTAAAAGCCCCCCAAAAAAGGTTTAAATTCTAGAACATTGGATAAAACTGTGATCTTTACTTTAGAAATTTGTAAGTTTTCATAAATTATTCATACAAGACTATAATTATCCTTAAAATTTTATCATAATATATAAATTATGAAAATAAAGTTATAATTAAAAAATAATTATTGTAAAAAAAATTCCACCCCTTTTCTAAAAATAAATATTCTATTATAAACACCTTCATCAGAATTTATATGAATAACAGCATGTTTAGACAGCATTGTTTGTTTACTTCTGAATTTATTCATTTAAACATTAAGACATGAATATAAATAATATTACACAATTTTATTTCAAGAGAAGGAGACAGTTAACAGCCATGAACAGATCTGTGAAAATTTGAATAAAAACCAAAGAGCAGATAATTTTTAAAAATTCATTCACAACATTTTTACTCTTACATTTTGGTTTTAAAATCTAGCTTGAAAAAAAAAATTGAATTACATTATTTTCCATTTTAATGTTTATGGATTAAATTTTAAAAAAACAGCTAAAATGTAATATTGTTAACACTGTTTAAGAGATTGCAGAACAAGATAAAGATGTCGAGGATGCTCTATTAATTTGTACAATGTATTTTTCCAGAGTTTTAGTAAGGCTGATGCACGTTCCTACATAGCAAAGACATATTTAAATAAGAACTAATACCTACATAGCAAAGACATATTTATATAAGAACTAATACCTACAAAGCAAAGACATATTTATATAAGAACTATTTATAGCCATTACCTTTGTGTTATCAGGGTCACAGTAATCCAATAACGTGTCACAGAAATGGTATCCCATCATTTCGAAATCTCGTTGATTGAAGTGAAAGCCTTTCTTTCTGCCGAGACTTGACCCACAGAAAGTTGCCTGGAGGTAAGCAAAGTATAAATCTTTAAAAAAAATTGTTTTCTAGCATGAATAGCTTTGTCGTAACAATAGCTAAAGAATATATACAAAATTAAATAATTTGCAGATATCACATCATTTTTATAATCTATTTTTATTGTCAAAATCACAGTCTTAAAAGACAAACCTCCATTGTGTAGCTGTTCATAATGCCCATGTTCCACATGACAACTCTACCAGTTCCTTCCTTGCTCTTTTGAACTTTGAACTTGCATGATTTGAAGCAGAACTGAAAAAAAACCATGTCATTAATTTATCAGTTCTCTGTCATAATTTTAAGTTACTATTTGGTTTGAGATTAAAATACATCCACTTGCACTACCAAGCAAACCATCCACTCCAGTTAACTACCTACCTAACTTTTCATTCCCACTTCCCACCTAACAACCCCACCTAGACCAGAAACAACAAAACTATGTACCAATGTGTTTACCCCATTACCAAACTACTAACCCAATCATCCAATAAACCATTCAACCACCTACCCCATCTAACAAACCTCTATCCTACCAACCTACATATCATCTACCCATCTAACAAACCTCTATCCTACCAACCTACATACCATCTACACATCTAACAACCCCACCCATCCGCCAACAATACATATCCCCAAGTTATCTACCCCCATCTACAAATGCATCTCTTCATCCACCTCAACCATTCATCCATTCAGTCATCGGCCCATTAATCAACCCTCTATCCCTCCAAGCTACCTAACATCTACACATCAATCCATCCAACACATCTATCCGTCTTATAAAAATAATGACCTTATCGGGAGTGTTCCTGCTCATCATTGATGGGAAAATTCTTTCATGAAATCTTTTATTGGAATTACTTTTTTGCTCACATCCGTAAATGAATACATTCTGTCTACGACTGTGCCCGTGAAGGTCACAGTAAACAATAATGTCTCTTTCAATCAAGAGTCTGAGGAAATCATCCAGTAAATGCAATGAATTATTTCTCCTTGGCCAGATTTATCATAAACATTTTTTTTTTAAAAGTCAGAACAAATATCCAGTCACACTAAGCTCTATGGCGTCATTAATTTTTCTAAGCAAAGGATTAAATACAAATGTTCTATTTTAAAGAGCAGCATTTGTCAACAGGTCTCTCGTCATACCCAGTGTGTCATGGAGGGTTTACAGACTGCTGGCAAGATTTCGATATAACGATTTTATAAATGAAGATGAAACTCTTTTACTGATCAAAAATAAATGGAGATTTGATTTGATTACATTGTTATATTCATTTCCTTTTCAGCTTCTTAAATAAAAACACAGACAAAAAAAAAATCACCCTGACTGAATTAACAATTTACTAGTAACTATGTAAAGTGTAACTATGTAAAGTGTAATTATGTAATGTGTAACTATGTTAAGTGTAACTTATGTAAATTGCACTTGTGTAAAGTGTAACTATGTAAAGCTCTTACTTTCGTATCATAGATTTCGTGTGCCACACTGAGGGGTAGGCATCCTTCAGGGCAGTCTTGTAGTTCCTATTGAGATCCCTCCCCGTCAGGGAACAACGGTAGTTCCCCACAATGACACCATCAGGATTCAGCATTGGAACAATTTTAAAGATAAAGGTGTCTCGTAACAGCTGTAAAAACAACAAATAAAAGCAATCAACAATCTAATAATTTCTAAATATCTTAGACAATCTGTATCAAATGATATAAGTGACATACTTCACAATTATCTTTCTTGTCAAATTTCCTGTAATCTTAATTAGAACAGCTTTTCAAATTCTTTATTTCCATTCAAAATGAAATAGTTCCTTTGGTGCTAGACCATCTAATCCCTGATACAGACGTATGCTCCTGGCAATTTTCAAGCCATACTAATAAAAAAAAATGTGTTTATTTAAACTGGATCTGTAAAGCTTTTAATTCATGCCATTTGATAGCTTGTCATCAATTTTATACTTCAACTAACAGGATAACATTACTTATTAGTTCATGATTGTCTTGTGGGTGAGCTCCAACTGGTGATGTTACAATTTCCAGACTAAACCACTTTTGAACACTGCCAAATTTCTACCATTGTAGAACACTTAGATAACCCCAAACAGGGTTTTGATCACATGATGTAACCCATGACCCCTATGGCTTCCAAATTTGATTAGAATTGTCCTTCCCAACTTTGCCTAATATAATCTAATTTGAGTAGATATTTTATGGTCAGAGATTGCTAAGAGTGCAATGTAGCAACTCCTTTATTTGTGTTAGTGTATTTCTCTTTTCTTTGGCCAAGTAAGTGTGTTAACATAACCAAACCTAATTAAGAAATGAATGTCCTCTGAACATAGGAATAATTTATTATTTTATTGTGACTGGTGTTAATTCTTTATATGATGGTAAGAATCTTATGAAGGTTAATGTCAAACCTCATCTTTCACTTATTATTGTGTACTTTGTATGCTGTGGCAGAAATTGTAACTACTTGTACCTATGTAAAATCATATTAATTTTTTCGGTTCTCTCAATAGTAAGACTGGGAAATAACATTTATTTTTGTTGTATTTTTTCATACTTAGAACTAGGCTGTGGTATTTTCTATAGTGCATGCACTTGTAATAGGATTTAAAGACGTAACAGTCTTTTTCATTTCAAGACAGATCAGGACTCCTACAGTCTATGTCTAAGCCCTACAGCCCCTAAGCAAAACAAAACCAGTCAAGTTGGGTCTTAAATATAAGGGTCATAATACCAGAGCATGCACTTTATTTATTAACCAGCTCAAGTCACTGAAAAGAGAACAAGAATCCATATCAGTTTTTTGGAACTTATTTATCTCACACCTTTGCATCAGGAGAATTGCTGGTGACAAAATCAAGCAGGCCTTTCATCATCCAACTGGAGTTACTCTCTCCTGGGTGTGCTCTAGAAGTCACCACCACTGCTTTCTTATGCTGAACACAACAAGTTTTACAAGAGATGAAAATATAAAAAACTTTTTTTTTTGTGAGTAAAACTTAAACATACATATTCAATAAGAGAAAATACTTTGTCAGTTAATAATTTTTAAAAATAAGGTAAAATACTTTGTTAGTTATTAATTTGAAAAAAATCATCTTAGGGTCGATGAAGAGAAGACAATATTTGTGCATGTGTGTTTTTAGCTTCAATATTTAATGTTTAAGTCTTTAAGTCTAACAGACTCAATGTTTTTAGCTTCAATATTTAATGTTTAAGTCTTTAAGTCTAACAGACTCAATGTTTTTAGCTTCAATATTTAATGTTTAAGTTTAAGTCTTTAAGTCTAACAGACTCAATGTTTTTAGCTTCAATATTTAATGTTTAAGTCTTTAAGTCTAACAGACTCAATGTTTTTAGCTTCAATATTGAATGTTTAAGTCTTTAAGTCTAACAGACTCAATGTTTTTAGCTTCAATATTTAATATTTAAGTCTTTAAGTCTAACAGACTCAATGTTTTTAGCTTCAATATTTAATGTTTAAGTCTTTAAGTCTAACAGACTCAATGTTTTTAGCTTCAATATTTAATGTTTAAGTCTTTAAGTCTAACAGACTCAACCAACTCTAGAATTTATACCCTCATTTTTAGAAAAAAAGCTGATAATAACTTATAGATTTTTAAAATAGTTGATTGAAATAACCAATGGGCAACTTATTGCTGTGTAACATTGAACTTCCATGCAAATATTTAATGATATGGGTCTTCAAATGAAGGTAAGTTCATAATCTAATTCACCTTCATGTCTTCTGGGTTCTGTGACGCTGATGTGATGGTTAGGACATACACAAGGTTCCCCGCCAACGTCCGACACAACACTCTCTGCTTACATATGCGAGACTTTATGGGATCATTTGTAAGTTCTAGCAGATAATTCTGGAATTTATAATTGAACAAAATATGTTTACTTCATATTTCATTATTTCATAATTATTTATCAAAGTGCAAGGATATTTTTATACATTTAATTAGTTCGAAGTTTTATAAATGTTATAATTGCATGACATCATCAGCCTCAAGTTACCTTAGATTCCTTTTCATAGCACAAAACTTTTAATGTCTATGAGCAAATCCAAAGACTTTAAACTTTCTTTCAATTATTAATACTATTAAAGAAATACAAACAATGAATAACTCAAGTATTTCATGTCAGGTGTGTCCACATGATGATCTGAGGGATCTTTTTTCCAAGGGCCTCTGATGGTCTAACTTCTGGTATTTTTAGAATCAGTTAAATGACTTATAATATCAACTATGCATTCCCCACACATTAGTGTCTGTGAATCAAAGGTTTTAGATAACAGAGATACATAAGCATCCCAAATTTCCTTTATCTTCTGTTGGATAACAGTTTAAAATTATGTTTTATTTCTATGCTATATTTGAATTTTGAAAAACTATTTCTCCTTAAATGCTAAAACCAATTTCCTGTTTAGCAATGTATAAAACAGGTATTAGGGATTAATTACAATTTTTTTAAACTACTTACTTGTAAATCTGTATAGGTGTAAGGATAACAGTGGGAGAAGTAGACAGTGTCATGGTCATGTTTGAACTTAATCGTCCAGGTCATTGAATAGTAGCTGCGCTCCCCTTTAACAGTTTCATACCTGTAGAAAATATAGATGTAAAGTTGAGGAATTAATGCTGTCATTAAAAAGACAAATATGTTACTGGCCATGACATGATTAAAATTTGATTATACAAAGGAGGAGCTAATTAAAAGTGCATTTATTTATTTCATTGATCATCTCCCTTGCTGTGGTGGTCAAAAGTAGGCTGGTATTTCAGTTTATTCCTGTAGTTGAACTATTTTCATTTTGTAAAAGTAGATCTTACCTGAGGTTATTTTTGTAGTATTTGATGTCACTTCCTGCCCTTACCCATCCAATTTTATGAAGCTCTGCCTCTTTCTCACTGTACATGACTGGTTTCATACCATCATTGTAGAGACTGTCCGACTAAAACACAATTTTACAATAAAAAGTGAATACATTTCTGCATGGTCTAAGTTCAATTAGTATTTTCATGGGCTGTAGAGTACAGCTCAAAAGTTTGAACCTGATTTACAATCCAAAAACATTTATGTACGAAGTAACATCTCTTACATTGGGTTTACTTATCCAACACAAGGAGGCAATTGCTTACTAGTCTAGATAAAAATATACAGCCAAACAGCATTAAAAATTCTTGTTTTCAGAAACAGATAAATTTAACTAAATCTCTGTAACATTGTTCTTACTCCAAGTCCCTGAATGCTCAATGGCAGCTAAAACTGTAAATCAATCAATACATGTTGATTGTAATATGGGTAACTAAGAAACAGGCATATGAGATGTAAGTGATATTATGAAATGTGAATAAATCAAATACTAATCTATAAAGTGTTATTAATTTTTAAAATTATAAAATATTATGAATTTCCCATGTACTTGGTATTTAAATCATGAAACCCATTAGGCCATTCATAGCCTTAAAGCAATACAAATTATTATTTTAATTAATTAATTTCCTATTTTTGACTTACTTTAATAAAATTACATATAGTAAATCTGTATTCCATGTCTGCTCTTGTGTTTGAAACCCTGAAGTAAAACCATTGAGTGTGCTTGTTGGTGTAAAGATCGTACCGGAGACTTAGCTCATACTCTCTTTCTCCTCTGAAAGCAGCATTATTTAAAAACAGAAAATATTATTCAAATGTGGCTAAAATCTTGTATTTAAAATACTTTTATATAATTGTTAAAACAAAGATTAAAAAAAAATTATATTAATTTCTCCAGTAAGGCTCTTATATTCACATCAATAATTCATAATAATTGCTGTTAAAAGACAAAAGAATGCGAAAAAAAAAAAAAAAAATTAAGAATCTTCTTATTTATTAAAATTTAAAATACTTTTATAGAATTTTTAAAAAAAAGATTAAAAAAAAATTATATTAATTTCTCCAGTAAGGCTCTTATATTCACATCAATAATTCATAATAATTGCTGTTAAAAGACAAAAGAATGCGAAAAAAAAAAAAAAGAAAATTAAGAATCTTCTTATTTATTAACTGAATATATGGTTTTGATTTAGAGTCTTCGTGGATCTCATAAAACTGCTGGTAAAAATAATTGCGAGATGTTTAAAGAATGCTAAGTTTCAATTTACACAATTTTAAATTTAAATCCTGAACTTTAAGAATCTTTTAATGAATGATATTTTCTGACTTACACCTGCACCACCTTCCCCAAGTTGCCACTTTCAAATCTAGACTCAAAGATGAGTGTTTTGTCATTTTCTGAATCCAGGCTGACTGCACATGGCTCACAGCCATTTCTACTGCCACCAGCATGAGATTTCATGTACTGAAAAATTGTATATGAATTGTTTTTGTTTGTGACACACTGTGATGAACAGTAAATCATAATTAATAATATTAATACACAGAAGTGAATTATGGTTATCAAAAACTATTTATAGCTAATATTATTTGAGTAATGTAACAGAAAGAAGGTGTTTTTTTTCACAAGGGGGTCTCTATAGCTATTATGTTCAATTCTAATTGTTCAGATGTCAACTGCATCTTGACAGAGAGGTAGCAGGTTCAAATTTGTTTAGGGTTGTCCTTAACTAGAAGTTAACAGCCACGTGTGATGGAATCATTAACCAATTAAAGCAGCCATTCTTGGAGAGAGAAAAATCTGAGTGCATTACCTCAGTGACCAAAGTTGGAAGACAGCAGCTAACTTGAGATGGGATTACAAATAAGCTATCTACTCACAAATATCTGCAGATTTACTAGTTACAGCTGCCAGAATATAAATCCAGAAAATTAATGTTTTTTAAATTTGTCAGATTCCAGCTTCCTCCAAATAAAGTTTAAATCTATGACACCACAAGTTTAAATTCTTATACCTCAAACAGAGTGTGTTTTGATAAAACAGCATGATTTGTTTAAAAGTGTTTTTTCCATCACTGCTTCCTGAAAACATAGTTTATTGTTATCATGTTTGAGTTTATATATATTTTATTCATCTCATTAACATGCACAAAAAAACATACAAAGTTGGTGTTTGTCTCATAACTGAAGACCACTCTTCCACCACTGGCCTCGCCGCGAACCATTGGGCACTTTTCAAAACCAGCTGTTGAAAAGTTTAACAAATAGCAAATAATTACAATATATTTCAAATCATAACAATGGATTCATTATGACCATGGTATAAAATACAGAGCTCTTTTATGGTAAGAAAGTTATACACGCTGTCACATTTACTTTCTAGTGAATGTATCTGAAATATATATTAAAAATGGGATTATTTTTACCTAGCGTAGCCTACTGATTAAATAGATCAACAAAGATGATAAAGACAATTAAATAATTTTAAAATGTTTCTTGATAAGAAGTAGGCTTACAACAAATGAGTACATTAACCAAGATATTATAAAAGAATTGTGCACATGATAGTGACTGGTACACAAATCTCTACCATTGGGTGGCAGTAGGTACATCTGAACTCACTCTGTCTATAAAATGGCTCAGGCTCAGATGTAATTGTCTGTATGTGTCTTACTCTTTCATTGATCACCTGTAAGTCTGATGGCCTGACAGAAGAAATGAAATTATGTTTTTTTTAAAAATTAAATATCTATAGAGAAAAAACATCAATTGAGATTATAGAAAAATTATTCAGAATAGCATTCAATACATCATTAAATAGCAAACTGTTGATATTCTTTAATTATAATTATAACAATAGCATAATAATTTATCTTTACACTGATAAAGAATTGTTTTTTTCTTCTACATAGTTTCAGGTTACAATAAAGAACTTATTTATAAGACATAAAGTATGTACCATCTGGCTGCTTGCTGGGGTCCTAGTTCCTTTGTAAGGGCATATAAACTCCTTGGCTCTCTAAGACGAGGTACCTATAAATATACAATAATATGATTTTATTAGCTTCAAAATAAAATTAAAAACTAAATGTTCACTCGTGTTAAAGAAAATCTGAAGTTAAACCGCTAAATCAAATAAATGTTATATTTTCTCATAAAATCTTATTATTTTTTGTGTGCTAAATTTTAGTTCATTAAAATTTGTGTAGCAAATTAAATGCCAAATTATTATCTTATCTGACCTTTGCTCTGCAAATTTTGAAAAACTTATACAAGAAAAAAAATTATTACCATTTTTCCAGACTCCCCACAGCTGTATATAAGCTGTGTGGTCCTAAGGAGATCTTCCTGAAGTTTGCTATCTGTAATAAAGTAGTAAAGATCTCAAATGTTAAAATCAGACCTTTGAGCAGAGGCTTTGGCTTCTTTTTTTAAGGGATGCATTCAGAAATGTTATTTTATTTCTTGAAATTTCTTCTTTTCAAAAAAATTTTTGTTAATAAAATAATGTCCTTGGTTTTTTTTAACTAAAAGAACTTCTTGTTCTACAATTTTTAAAGTACAATAAATTAAATGCTTTTGCTTTTTAAAAAATGTGAAACTTTATTTCACAAAATTACTGAACAAATAGAATTTTATGAAAAATAAACAGCTGTTACTATAATTATTCTAAAAATAAAAAAGGGAAGAACAAAGAAAAGGTTTTAAATGCTCCATTATCATTAATAATGAAAAGAACGCAGACAGAAAAGTAAGGCAATGCCAGGAAATAAGCAAATTTTTTTTAAAATTTGCCTGTTAATAGTTTTAAATCATTTTAACCGCAGTAATTAAGAAGCCATTGAATAATGGTATACATTTATTATGCACATCAAATTTGATCTGAATTTTGGACTCATTAAAAAGTGAACAGCTGTTGTAAAAATAAGAAAATGGTTAATTAAATGTAAATAAAAGGAACAGTTAAAATTTAGAAAATATCTTTTTTTTTTTTAAAATAAATTAGGATTACTGCAAAAAAAGGCCTATTTTTAAAAAAGAGCAAAGTAATTTATCATGCCAATTTAAAATCAAGAACTCTAATAATAGAGTCTCACATTTGAAATTTGAAAATGACCAAGCAACTTAATCAATTTTTTTAAAGTCACAATCAACTTCAGACAACTCGGATTAGTCCTGCATTATACTTCATCAATTAATAATATATTTTCCCCCTTACCTAAAGTGAGCCAATACTAAGTGGTAAAACCAATCTTAGCCAAGAAAAAAAAATATATAGGAAGAGAAATGCTTAGGCTTAATCTTAAATAAATAGCAATTGTAGGAAATCAATATGTTAGCCCCTGAAACAACCAAACCAAGGGAACAGAAATATGAATACCCTTGAAACAGCTCTTTCGCTAGGTAGAGCCTGGCTTTGATAACTTTTAAAAATAACAAAACTTATGTAATTTAAATCAGTGATGAGTTCTTAATTTGTATAATTTTAAGTGTTTTAAAATCTAGTATCAATAAAAATAAAAGCTCTTCTAGAGTGACTAGCTGAGATTGAGAAGGTAAAAAGTTAATATTACATTTTTGTTTATTCTGGAAATGGTGAGCCTTATTATTTTTACTTCAAAAAGTAATAAATGTGTATGATTTAGAGGCAGCATGAAACTGTTGTGGGCAATAATTAAATTTTGCGACCACTTAATATTCATAAATTTGTGGGCCTATTTGGTATTCACTAACTGAAAAAAATTATAATATAACTAAAAATATATCTTGACAATGTTATTCAAAAGGAGGTATTTTAATATCCAAAAGTACATGCAACATCTACAAGCAGTATGCTTAGAATGTGATTTAATGTTGCTGAAACATTATTGGTACAACTTTTTGGTTTAGCAATAATCAATTTAACATCAACATCTGAGGCTTAACTTTTTCTCTAAAAAGATTTTTTAGCACATTAGGGTTTTTAAAAAATTCCAAACAAAAAAATAATTAGATTAAAAACTTTGTGATTTAACATTTTTAAAATACCTGCATTTTTGAACAAATCCAACTCTTCTGTACCAACAGTTGTGTTTTTAGGAGCATTAAATTTCTCAAGGAGAGATTGAACCCATTCTGGCTGTTTGACACACTTGGGTTTAAGAATGTAAGCAGCGTAATCATAATCTAACCAGCTTGAATCCGATGAAGATGATGAGGTGGAGCAATAGGTTGTGCAATCACTTCCACTGTCACTGTCCTCAACACATGTGCTGGTTGAGTCAGTCTCCTGGAAGCTTGACTCACCAGTTTCTGTGCTGGTCTCAGAGCTGCATCTTCCACTGCTTGTGGCTGTCCGTGTGCTCAAAGATGTATTACTCTGGCATGTAACATCCTCTGAAAAACTGCTTCTGCTCGATAAATAGGATAAACTACTTTTTGTTCCCAGACTGCTTTTAATTTCATTGCTAGAAACTTTACTACTTTCCACCGTGTTATCTAGCCTTGCATATGATGAACTTGTCATATTCAAACTTGATCTGCTACTTGTTATAGAAATGCAGATGTCGCTTTCATGTAAGCCTCTGCCATTTTTCTGTCTTGAGCTTGAGCTCATAGTGTTTCTTGAGGTTTTTAATGTGCTGACTGAAGCCAAACTTTCCAAATTATTAAGTGATAGTCTTTCATGCAATTTTTTACTTTGACTTAGTAAAGAACTATTCCTACTTCTGGCTGACAGACTTCTACTGTTGAGTGTGCTGAGTGAGCTACTTCTTTCAGGAGCTAAGTTCATACTGGGTCTTAAACTATTACGACTTTTATTTTCAGAAACTTCCTCTGAAGTACTATCCTGTGAATAACTCGGAATTGGATGACTATTACTTTCCATACTACGTCCACTTCCTGTGCAAGTTAAATCATTTTGTACTGATGAATTTCTGCTACTTGCCTGGCTGTTAGCCTCAGTCTTTGTAGTACTGTACAAAATGCCACTGAAGCTTTCTGGCATCTCATCAATACTACTTATGGAGTTTAATGTGTTTTGACTGTCCGTCCTTTCTGTTCTTGTACAACTGCTCTGTGACAGTTTTGTGATTCTTTCACAAGAATTTGAGGACAGATGACGGTTTGTATCATCCGTACCGTGGCTGTCTCCTTGGAAAGAATTCTGAGATGTGCTACTTGGACAAATGCTTCTGCTAGGACGCACACAGCTGCTTCTAGATGAATCTTTTGAGCTAACTCTTATCCTGCTATTATTTATGAATGTGCTTTCCACAGATGAGCTGCTTTGGCTATTTTTAGGAAAAGACTCCTGAAATATTAAAATATCACCGATTTCCTGGTTGTTATTGTCTAGACTTGCAGGTATATGTGTCCTATTTCCTTCAAAGCTATCTCTGAAATTCCATTCACTCATTTCAATAGAGTCAGAGCTCCAGGCATCATTTTCTTCCTCCTCTGTGTCATTGATTTCACTGCTGCATGAGTTTTCTCTACTTATCTGTTCCCTGTCTGATAAATTATTTATATTTTTAGGTGGGCTGACTGCCATCAATCCAGTAGCCTTTAAACTTTCATGATCTCCTCTTTGTACAGTTGGTGAACATATTTTTAATTCTACTTCAGTTACGTTGTAATTGTCTCTTGATACAATCATAGAATCGCTTTTCGAATATTCTTGAGTCTGGTTTTGATATATTTGCATGCATGAGCTCTCTTGGGGCAGAACATCATTTTTTGACCCTGCTTTAGCATTAGCAGATGTTTCTGGACTCCCAGTACTTGCTGTATTTTCCAACATACTTTCAAAGTTGTCAAGAAAAATGCCGTCTTCGTGTAAGCTAGTACATGACTGACTGTCTGCTGCATTTTGATTTTTTGTGGACTTGAGGCATTCATTCTCAATATAATATATAACACTGTCATTTCCATTGGAATCTGTCTGCTCCATCTGCTAACTCTTAAAAATCAGCTTCATTTATTTCCTATAGTGGTATCAATGGCACACTGCATATGGTGATCTCCTTGGCACACCTCTCAATTTAGTTCACATTAAAATATTTCATGAGAAGATGATCATAAGATGGAATTGTGAATTTATAATGTAAATAAGATAATATAAGATACTTTTATTTAAAAAAAATAAATGGAAATTTTTTTTTTTTCATTCGTAGTACATTTTTTTTCAGTCCTGAAAATCTGTTTTTCATTGTTCCTTTAAGTTAGTCTGTAGCATAAATTTCATCAAAAAATTGTCCGGTATGAATTACTGTTGTGTTCCTTATCATCAGTTGTAATTTTGCACAGTGCCTTGGTTTTATGGTTGAATGGAGTTCTTGTTTTATTTGTCCAGGATCAGCTTAATATTTTTCCAAATAGTAGGCCTATAATTCAAGATATCCATTAAGACTTAAAAGTTAGTTCACAATACACAATAAAAACATGATAAATAATTCATTTTAAATGCTCCATTATTATTTATAATTGTAAGAATGTGCCAGAGGTAGCTACCATTCCTATTTAGAGCAGTTTAGGTTCAGGCATGTGATAAATGAACGCAACATTCACCAGCCATTAGCAGGAAACAAGCCAATCATAGGAGTTCAATAAATCAATATATAATTCTTGCTCCTGGTTTCTTATTTCAGAAACACATTGGAGTCCATTAATCAATGTCTAACATGGTGCATTAAGTAACAAATCGACTTAGACCAACAACCCCCCCCCCTCCCCACCTTGTACTTCATTGACATGGTTGAAAGTAAGAGAATCTGAAAAGATATTACATCAATTTACCATTATGTTAACACACTCCCTCCTCAACACATGTGTACACATTTGGTCTCCCATGGATGCCCCAAATAAATAATCCAGTGACCAGTTATGGCAAAAATATCCAAATTAATCTATGAATGATTTGTGCAAGCTTCATTTTCTATTTATTTCCTTAATGCAGTTCATCAAGATAGAATATTGTATTATGGATTATCTGGATTCTATTTTTTGCTAAATAAATTCATTTCTTTTGGCCATATTCTTTTTAAATTTGTATAGGACATAATTATTCAAATCATTTTTGTTCATTTCTGTGGTAGAAAAAGTTAAAAAAACATCACCCATAGCTCTATCGTAATGTAAAATCCATAAACACAGTTCTCCACTTAACCACATAAAATTGAATATTCCATAGCAAGTGAAAAGAATTTTTTTCCTCTAAATTCTCAGCTAATATTTCTGAATGGTCAAAGATGAAATTACAAGGGAGAAAAAAATGAGCTTCAAACAAGTTGCTTTTGGCTGACACATAGAAGGCATGTAAAATAAAAATAATAATAAAATATAGTTATTTGGAACCAATGCCGATGGAACTTTCCTTTCAGCAATCCATTTAAAAAAAAAGATATTTTCAAAATTAAGCTATAAATTTCAAATCTATATGATTAAAGACAATATATTGTCATTCTTATTTCTTATTGGATTAAATTAAAAGATTTCCTGCATTACTTTAGTTTAAAAACATAAATACATATAGTCATTGATTTTCTCTTGCTGAGACTGGATCGCAAAACAGTAGCTCGAATTAGCCACTCTCATCAATATTTGATGAAAGTCTGGTTTGTAATTATTTTATAAGCTATTTCAGCCTAGTGACATTGTGATTCATTCTTTGAACTTTGAAACACTAAACAATGTCATATTAATTGCTAAGAAAAATTATAGATAGGTTCATTCTTAATATGAGATGGAGATTCAGCCCTAATTTTTATAATTTAAAAAAAAAACGGTAATGGAGAAAGGAGTTCACAAAAGTCCATAAGGGAATGGTAAGTAAAAGATAGCATTTGATTAACTCTAATAGGAATAAAATTTAGTGATTTTAGTGTTTCTTCTATGGAAAAAGTTACTGATTTTTAATAATGATCATGGCATAGAATTGAAACTTATTAAAATACACAAATATTACTAAGGCATTATTATTTCACTCAGTATATTTTGACGATAAAATGAGACAGTTGGAGATTTTTTGTAATACTGCCTATTTAAAAATGAACATTAAATATTTTTGTTTCAAAATGCTTTTCAACATTTTACCCAAAAAATTGTTAGATTTCAGATCAGATTGTCAGTTAGCAATGAAAATAACACTATTTAAATTCAAAATAACTAAAAGTATGGGCCTTCATTTCATCATCAAAACAAAAATGTCATCTAAGTTATTTTAGTAGAAAACACAGAATGTTCTATAATATTTTGGCACCATTTTGTTCAATGAGAAGAGAACTTTTAACTGGACGTGGTAATTTTTTGTCTTGTGAAGTGTCAGACTCTGAAGATAACTCTAAGTCTGCCAATTCGATGTGGAAGATGAGAAACACACATATCAGAGAAAATTGTACCATTTTAACTACCAAGTGAGTTTTTTTTTAAAGTTTTGTGAAAAACGCTATTCGTGAAAATTCAAGTGAAAAGGTTTAGATGAGATTGCACTTTAAAAGATTGAAATAACTACAAAATATTTATAAAGATCAAATATAATAGTACAATAGAAATTCATATTTGAAGATCCTCTGATAAAAAATTGCAAAGGACAAAGACACACATTTACTCTACATACAGTGTTTACTTTTAATTATATATGCTCTCACCCACACAGTTAGATCATATCTAATTAAAAACAAAAATATTCCTGCCAAGACACCATTAAATAGTTTGTTATTTTATGCACTGCTACATTGTGAGGGCAGTGAGGCCGTAGTTGGGGAGAGTATAGAATGACTACCAGACAAGTTAAAGGGCAGTCTATAAAACTAATGCAAACTACAGTATATATTATATTTATTTAATATATTACAAATTGATTTCTAAAAATAGTAAATTGCCCTAATTAACAGTTTCTTCCTGACAGCACTAAGTTAAATTTAGCACAAATGGTGTTTTTGAATTTAGGAAATTTTAAGGGGGTGAGGGGTGTGGGTGTAATATTTTACTATTTGCATTTATCAGTTAGGGTTAATAAAGATATACCTTAATTATGTCTTGTCTTATATAATAGCATGCAAAGTCTAATAAAAATTAACTATTAATCATATTAATAATTAATAAATATATGAGGTATTTTAAAATACAGAACTAGAAGCCTACCAGCAATTTTGTCATCATCAGAATCCAACTCAGAGTCTTCACTGCTGTCACTGCTGAGATTATAGCCATAGTTCTTTTCCCATTCAGCATAGTGCTGAAACTGGTTCTTGTAGTTTTGATTTCTTCCTAATAAATTTAATAAAGACAAAGGATGATTTCCATAAAGACTTAAAATTTGTGTTTTAAAAACTACAACAAAAAAAGCCAATTTTAATAAATCAAATCAAATCATGCTTAGTAAATCAATGTGCTGCCTCTAATTTTACTCAAAATACTTTAAAGGTTATTTAAGAATTTTTTTAAATAAATATTTTTACCATTTTTTTAAATTTCCTAATTTAATTAATTTACGTAATTAACTTTGAATTCTCATGCTGATACCTGTCAAATCAAGAAAGAAGGTCAGTTTAAATCATAAAATATCCTGTAAAACCCCCATACCATTAAAATTGCAACAAAAAAAACTTTTCATCCGTACTAATCAGTGCCATCTTAATGCATGTGGGCCCCAGATTCTTTACCTAATATAACTTGCAGAGGTTAGAGAGGAATTGGCCCCCTGTTGCCATTAAGACTTAACTATCCTAGAACTAACAGATCATGTCTTAATCACAATAGACATAAAATTTAAAACATTATGACATTTTCATACAGCTATTCTAGTACCAAAATATAGTGGGTGAGATAAGGATTCATACTAATTGCTTGCTTGCGTATCCTACCTAGGAGGGCACTTCCTAAAAACAACATCAGAATTTGTGTCAGTTGGGCCATTAAGAAAGATTTGTGACCCCAAGAAAAGCTTTCCCATTAAAATGCATAGGGTAGCCGCAAAAATACACAATGCCCAGGAAGGAACTGTATTGGGAAGTCCCAGGGCATGCAAGTATAATGGAATTCAGTCCAGATTTAGTACATTGACTGCAGAGTTTAAAGGATTTTGATAGAAGAGTTTTCTAAATAAAAAGATTTTTTAGAGGATTAGAATAAGTTATACTAAAATTTAATTTAAAAAAGGTCAAAATTATTTGTGTAGGCTTAAACCATTGAAAACAGTTAAAATGTTGCATATTTGGAAGTCTAATCAAGTTACCATATACAAACATTAACTCATAGGTCTAACAATTTGTTTTTTTAAATAATGACTACAAGAAAATAACCAATGATTTATTATTTTTATGTACTGAAATTAATAAAATTTATAGGAGTAAATTACCTGTGTAATATCCATAATGCTGTAGATGCTTTTTCATGAAGCTTTCATATGGATTCTAAAAATTTTTTTGAAAAGAAGAAGAAGACAAAGTTAACAAATCAAATTAATATGGTGGTGTTTTTATTTTGGCAAACTACTTATTGGTTTTAGGAATCTTGTATTAAATCAGTAAACAGTTTTTACAATGCATTACCAGGTGTGCCACATAAAAAGGTCTTAGTAATATATTTTATAATATTGATAGCACCAGTTTAAAACAAAGCATTTCATTCCAAATAGCAGTCAGCATTTAAAAAAAAAATTAGTTTCAGTTAGACAACAAACTTTGAGAAATGCTGGTCAGAAATGTGAAGCAAGTACCTGTTAGCACATTGTTCTATATGTTCATTATTTTGTAGTCTTTTATTTACATAATAATTATTTTTAATAGTCTGAATTTAAAGAAAAATATTTTAAACTTTAAAAAAAAAACAATTATCGATTTCTAAACTATAACTGTAATTCTGAATATCATTTAATATCCTTAATCAAAATTCTTCATTTCATTATAAATATGTCTTTACCAGTTATTTTAAAATAACGTCAAACACTGTGCTCCTGAGCACTTGAAAGAAGCTATTTAAAAAAAAACTTACAATTCCATAATAATCATCATCACATAAGTCCTCTTCAGGTATCATGATTGAATGTTGTGCTGGTGCAAATTTAACTGAAATTATTTGGTTATTAGGAAATTACTGAAAACCAATAATTCTACGCTGGTTGTATCTATTTGTTTTAAAGTTACTTGTCATAAAATAGGATACATAGCTTTTTAAAAAGCACAATTTGTCAAGCTTCTGCAGTATTATTGTTGTACTGCCATTTTATTAAAAGCTTTGGAGTAATAGAGGTTGACTTGTTGGCCAGAAATAAAGTCATTCAAATTTTCAACGACTGAGAATTTAATGTATGTTCTTATAAATATATTTTGGAATGTTATAATTCTGGTAATTTTAGTTTGAAAAGGTTAGTGTCCTCTGTGTGATGCCAAAAGTACCCATGAGTCATGTGTCAAAATCTCAAAATGTAAATCTATTTTGAACATCTGCTGAATTCGAACTAACTAAACTCATAACTATTTCTAGGACAAGCGTGTAAAAGACTTTAAGTTGTCCATATGATTTCTTTAAAGTTGGTTGCTAGTGAAGAAAATAAATGCTTTAAATAGCTTAGTGAAATTAAAACAAAAATGAATAATGTACAGTAAGGAACATCTACCCAACGTTCACAGGTGCAAATACTCTGTTCCTCAAGTATTCTTTATTAGTTAAGTAGCATTAAACACCACATTGGAAAATTTGAAACAGCAATAATAGAAACTAAGTTTGAAAAAAAAAGGAATTCATAAATAAACTCTATGCAACTTCAAGGTTGATCACATTCTGAACATTCACTTTTAAAATACATTTTTTTTTAAATTTTGAGGAAGAGGGAAGACCAGGGCTGTCTATCTTAAAGCTTACTTAGGGCCTCATTTATATTGCTAGACAATGTTCAACATACATGTAGAAATTTAGCTATAATTTATTAACAGTGATAACCACAGAAAATCTATTGGTTTTTTCTGGGTTTTTGTTGTTGTGATTAATTAATTTGAAATTTCAAATCTCATTCATTCATTCATATTTTCAATTAATGTTTGACTCATAACAAAAGATCTAAGTCTGATCATGTTTAATGGTCTCATGGATGAAGTAATTAATTTTTTTAAATTTTAGTGTCTAGTTCATGGGTTGGCAACCTTTTTTTAGTTAGGAGCCATTTAGAGTTGCAGCTATTCCTTGAAAGAAACGCACACAGCTCCTAAGCCGCAAGCTGGTGACCACTGGTCTAACGTGTTAGAAAATATGCTGCCCAAGGGCCATTAACAACAGCCCTGGTATAGACTATAACTATTATAATAGGGACTTTGACTTTATTTCCAGAAATAGGATAACAGTTTAATAAAATAAAGTATAAAATGAAATATATGAGAGCATTAAAAGATATATTGGGATAACTTTAGAAATGGGAATGATATATTATATAAATTTATATGCATATGTTGATATACTAATACTAGGCCCACCTATTCTTCTACTAGTCTCAAATATTCGTGAATCATGGCACACGGCATGGTCATTCAAAAGTCAAACAAAAAAGCCAAGCCAGCAACACAGGCCAAGCATATGACATGATATGATATCATACAATAAACTTTGAGTGGCCAGTAGTATTTTGTGTAGTTAGTATTTAGACCCCTTACTTACACATTTGTAACAATTTGTTTACTTTAGAAATTATGTTATTTTATTTCAAAACTTTAAATTTATTATAAAAATCAAAGGAAGAAATGAAATTAAATATTAAATAATCTGTGAATCAAAGCTGAGTGTCCTTGTTCTATTTTTTCAGATTACAAAAATATTAATGTTTTTTTTATTAAAGCAATCTTCAATTATAATAGTAAAAGTGATCGCCGCTTTTATGTATTTGTATTCACTATGAATTGTCTTCAAGTTCTAGTGGCTAAGTCATTTCTGAGTAGACGAATAACATTAAAAGACGCTTTGAATCATTACGCTTTAAAAATGAAGTCATTTATATTAAAAGGGAAGAGCAAAAAGTATTCAACAGTGTAATTTAAGTAATGTTAAAGATACTTTTTAATGCAAAAAATAAATAAATAATAATAATAATGTTAGAAGATTATAGGAGATGGCCTATGAAAAGAGTTATATTGTGTTCAAAATGATGTAGTGTATGGATACTAATACTATCAATCCTGTTTCCAAGTCAAGGTTCAGCACCAAATATTAAATAAATCCATATAAATATTTAAATTTTCATTTTATAATAATTATTTGATAATTTGTTATTTTATTTTTAATTATTAGGTAAATCTTTTTATTTCAGTTTTGGATTATTACAAAAAAATTCTGATCGAGACTAGGATTTGGCCTGTTTATATCCGGTCTTTTCTCCTCGATCGCTACGGAAGAAAGATAGCCATGGTTCGTTCTTGTAATCCATTTGTTGTGGTGTTTTATTTAGTTAATCTTTTCTGAAATTGTGACTAATATATAAAATTATTATTTTATTTTAACTTTTTTTCTAATATTTTTGTTACAATGAAAAATGAATTATACTGGATTACTTGACCCAAACCTCATCTCCAACAAAATGAAAGTAGATCTCCATTTAAAATCTTATCTATACAAACAATTCCCATATACGATTTTGAAAAAGTTTCCAATGTTTAATCAGTTCTCCACACTTACTGGTGTTACTAATGCCGGCAAACTGTGTTTTATTTATAATCATTTAAATATTTCTAATAAAAGAGTAGCAAAGGAAGGCATATATTACTCAGACTTAACTAATTAGCCTTAATTAATTAGGGGTATGAATATAATTTTTTAATTACTTGAATAACAGTAATAAAACTGACTTCAATCCAGTTCAGGACTAAATAGTGACTTGTAAGATTTAATTTAATCCACAACTGGTACTTGGTAGACTAGATACTTTGGTCAAAAATGTAAACATTTTTTTAAAAATAAACCAATGGCACAGTTGAATAGAGCTAATTTTAAACAGAATTATAACACCAAAATCATATTTTTAGCTGTTGTAGTTTTAAAGTTATGAATTTTTAAAGTACGACTTGGTTTGTCCTTTTTTAACATGGACTGCATCTCCACATTCTGTGACCTCATTCCGCCGATCGCGTCATGCGCAATGACTATATAGTTTATATAAGGCTAAGGCATTCCCTTATCACTAAAATACTGTTTAGGGTCGATTTATTTTAAACTTTCAACTTTGGCACATGAATAATTAATTAAAGCTTTCCCTGACCAATGGTTTAATAGTTTTTGCACACGGCAAACACTTATACTTATGAATGAAACTCTGAGATAGTACTACGATATAGCCGTTATGCAAGTGGCTGTGAATGGTTGCCAATGACAACGTGTTGCACACGGAAATTTCTGATCATTTATAATATGGACTCTACAGAGTTT